TCCATTTAGTCCACAGTGTTGTTTAAATTTCCTATTTCCTTATTGATTTTCTGTCTGGATGATCCATCCTCTGCTGAGAATTGGGTAGTAAAGTTCCCCAACTATATTATTGTATTGCTACTTATTTCTCCTTTTTGTTCTCTTAGTACTTGCTTTATATATTTAGTTGTTTCGATGTTGGGTCATTAGTATTTATTATTGTTATATCTTTTTAATGAATTTACCCCTTTAGCATTATACAGTGACCTTCTTTGTTTCTTTTGAGCATTTTTAGTTTAAAGTCTATTTTATCTAATATAAATATAGGTACTCATGTTTGTTTGGTTTTTTTTGGTCACCGTTTGCTTGAAATATCTTTTTCCATCCCTTCACTCTTAGTTCATGTGTGTCCTTAAAGGTAAAGTGAGTCTTGTACAGGCAGCATATTGCTAGATCTTGGTACTTTTTAACCCATTCAGCCATTATATGTCTTTTGATTGGAGAATTTAATCCATTTATGTTTAAAATAATTACTGATAGATAAGGACTTACTATTGCCATTTTGTTGTTTTTCTGAGTGTTGTGTAGCTCCCGTGTTCCTTCCTTCCTCTCCTGTCATCTTCCTTGGTGATTGGATGCCTATTTGTGGGCATGCTTTGACTCCTCTTCATAATCTTTTGTGTATCAACTACAGGTATTGCTTTGTGATTACTTTGAGACTTACATAAACTATCCTATTTACACTGGTAACAACTTAACTTTAATAGCATACAGAAATTTATACTTTTTCTCTCTCACATTTTAGGTTATTGATGTTGCTTCTATAATATTCCTGCTTAACAGTCTTTCCTGTTTTGGGGGGTTTTCTAGGACTTTAAATAATTTTTTATTTTTCAATTACAGTTGACATACAATATTATATTAGTGTTAGGTGTACAACCCAGTGATTATACATTATGTAACTTGCTAAGTGATAAATCCTGATAAATTCATCTCTGTCTGACACCATACATAGTCACTATAATATTATTGACTGTATTGCCTTTACATCACTGTCACTGTAACTGTTAATTTGTATTTTTTAATCTCTTCACCTTTCTCATCCATATCTCTAGCCCTCTCCCATTTGGCAACAGTCAAAATATTCTCTGTATCCATGAGTGTTTCTGTTCTGCTTGTTCATTTATTTTGTTTTGAGTGGGGAGGGTCTTGGAATCACCAGGGAGAGGTGGACAGTGTAGCCAGGTTGATGGATATGGCACCCGCCTGCTGGCTCTGTGGGGGGAGGGCTTGGAAAAGGAGCAGTGGCCTCAGCCAGCTCTCCGTCTGGGAGAAAACTGCCCCTCCAGCTCTTACCCTGATACCAAGCAATTCATTTCCTCCCCGTATGTCACCGGTGCCTTTTGAGCTGCTGCCCCAGCGCTGGAGTTCAGAGTGAGTGAGTCCGAGTCAGTCTGGATGCGGCTCTGTAAGCGAAGCGCCTGGACTTCGCGCCCGCACTCATTCAGCGCGCTCTGCTGGTTTTACAGCTGCGAGTTATGGGACTGCTCTCCCTGGTGCTGGGACCCTGGGCTGGGAGCCTGCCACGGGCTGGGACTCCCCATTTCTAATGGGGACTCTCCGCAGCCAAGAAACCCTTCCTGACTTTTATCCACCACATGTCGGTGTGGGCCCAGCCTGTCCCGAGTCTCTGTCCCTCCCACCTGGCGTCGTCCTGTCCTTAGTTGTGAGACCGCTGTTCACTAGATGTCAGGTGGTTCTGAGTGATGGCTCTTCTGTAGGTTAGTTGGCATTTTGATGTGGTTGTGGGAGAATAAGAGAACCGTTTACCTGTGCGGCCATCTTGACCAGAAGCCCTGATAGTCTTTTCTTTCAATATTTTGAATATATAGTCTGACTCCTGGCCTGTCAGATTTCTGTTTAATTGCCCTTGTATGTGATGTCACTGTTCTCTTGCTGCTTTCACAATTCTGTCTTTGACTTTTGACAGTTTAATTGTGTGTGTGTCCTGGTGCTGCCCTTTTTAGGGTCAGCCGATTCGGGTCCTTTGCACCTCATGAATCTGGGTGTCCACTTCTCTTACCAGGCTTGGGACGTTTTTGACCATTATTGTTTTAAATCGACTTTCTGTCCCCTTTTCTGTCTCTTCTTCCGGGATTCTCATTGTGTGTGTTTGTTTCTTTTAATGGTATCCCGTAAGTCCTGGGGGGCTTCACTCTTTAGTTTTCTCTTTTCCTCTTTCTAGGGCTGGATAATTTCCAATGACTTGTCTTCTAGCTCACTAATTCTTCTGCTTGCTCGAGTTAGCTATTGAAGCTATTTAATTTTTGAGTGCAGTAATTATACTCTACAGCTCTAGGATTTGTTTTTTATTTTTTATTTATTTTTTATTTTTTTTTAAAATATATTTTATTGATTTTTTACAGAGAGAAAGGGAGAGAGATAGAGAGTCAGAAACATCAATGAGAGAGAAACATCGATCAGCTGCCTCCTGCACATCTCCCACTGGGGATGTGCCCGCAACCCAGGTACATGCCCTTGACCGGAATCGAACCTGGGACCCTTCAGTCCGCAGGCCGACGCTCTATCCACTGAGCCAAACCGGTTTCGGCAAGGATTTGTTTTTTAAATTTATTTTTGATGGTTTCTATTTTCTTGTTCAACTTCTCATTTTGTCCATGCATTGTTTTCCTAGCTTGGCTTAGTTGTCTGTGTGCCCTTGTAGTTGACTAAGCTTTAGGAGGTTTATTCTGAATTCCTGGTCACAGTTTATAGATCTCCATTTATTTTTTTTAAAAATTGATTTTAGAAAGAGGGAGTGGGATAGACAGAAACATCAATGAGAGAAACATTGATTGGCTGTCTACCCCCCCGCCCCCCCATGGGGATCGAGCCCACAACCTGGGCACATGCCCTGACTGGGAATCAAACCTTGACTTCCTGGTTCATGGGCCGATGTTCATCCACTGAGCAACACCGGCCAGGCAGATCTCTTTCTTTTGTGGCAATTATTGGAGCTTTATTAGTTGCCTTAGGTGTTGTCACATTTTCTTATTTCTTTATGAGCCTTACCTTGCATTGGTATCTGTACATATAAGTGGTCTCCTCTTACAGACTTTACAGGTTTGTGTCAGCAAGAAAAGACCATCTTTCAGCTTAGCTTGGGAACTGGATGGGTCAGCCAGTGGTATCCATGGTCTCTTGGAGTTTGTTGTCAGGGTCTCTAGTTGGGAGGGGCCTCTACGTGTGCTTTGAGGAGTTGATTGCTGATGGCTGGGCTCCACATTGAAGCAGGGCCAGTAGCTGGGCTCTGCAGTTACCTCTAGTCAGGCGGGTCCCTAGCAGGGCACTGTCACTGGTTGGACCCTATGATTAGGGAGGCCTGTGGGCTAGCTCCACAATTGCTCCTGGGTGGGTGGGGTCTCCGACTATGCCTCTTGATCAGATGGCGCCACTGGTGGATTCTGTGCAGGCAGGGCTTTGGGGTTGGACCTGGGCTCAGGCTGTGCTCTGTGACCAGGTGGGCACTCAGACAGGTGTGCAGGCTTGCCTTTGTGCCAGGTAGGCCCGTAGGCCGCAGGCTATGCTCCACTGTTGAGCAAAGTCTCTGGCTGGGCTCTCAGCCAGGAGGAGCCTCCAGCCGTTGGGTGGGGCTAAGACTGTGCTCTGCAGTTGGGCGGGGTCACTGTCTGGATGAGGCCTCAACCTCTGTGTTGCATTTGGGCAGGGCTGTAGGCCGGCTCTGTGGCTGCTTAGGTCACTGTTGAGGCTCCCTCGCTGTGCAGGGCCCGAGGCTGTGCTCAGCAGTTGGACAGGTGCTGGTTAGGCTCCCTGCCTGAGTGGGGCTGCAGGTGGGCCCATCCCGGTTCCCGGTCAGGCTTCCTGGATGGTTGGGACTGGAGGCTCTGCTTAGCAGTTGAGCAGGGCTGCAGATGTGTCTCCTGCCTGGGTGTTGCTATCTCCACAGCTGGCTTCGGCCATTGCCTGGGGATCTAAATCGGGCCCCCGGTGGGCTGTCCCTGACTGGGACGTCTACTTATGTGCTGCTGCAGGCAGGAGTGTGGTCCACCAAGATCTTAGTGCTGCACAGCACATGATTGTCCAACCACCCTGCTGTACACCTGAAACTAATGCAAAAATAACATTGAATGTAAGTGGAAAAAAAGATTTGAGTGCTGGTTGCTGAAAGCCCTGCCCCTACTCCTCTGATTCCCTGTGGGAAGGCCCAGGCAGTCTCCAGGCAGCACCCCACAATTCTGGAAGACCCTGGGTGTGCACCTCGTGCTGTTCTCCCTCTGGAGAAACCACAGTGGGAACCTCTCCCTGGGGCTGTGCTGGCCTGAGGGCGGGTCATTCGGTCAGTGTTACTACTCCTCGGCCTCTAGTGCCGTCCTCTCTGCCCCGGGTCCAGGAGGGGGTTCCAGCCTCACCTGTGGGTTCTGGGATTTTCACAGTGTGTCCTGTCTAGGTAGCTGCTCGTTGGTCATTTTGTGAGGGCACTGAACTTGGGGATAATGTACCAGTGTGTTGCCACCTTGATGTGGTCCCTGAAATCACTCTGGTGTTGAAGAAGATCCAGCTGCATGGAGTCCACATAGAACTTCCCAAGCCACACCCTCTCCCCCTCCCACTCTGTCCATGATCAGAACTCGTCGTCCCTTCCTGTTCTTCCATCTCTTCTGTGACTCATCAGGGTGGCCCTTTATCCGGCTTTGATGTGGTAGAGAATATGGGGGGATGAAGAAGAAACACTGGTTACAAAACCACTTACTCCAACCCCACGCTTCCACCTGGCCCTGATTCTGTGTGCACGTTCATTGGCCGGGTCCTGGTTGCTTCCCTGTTCGTGGGCCAGGAAAACAGGGCCAGTGTTGGTACCTGTGTGGTGGGAAAGCCTGAAGCCTCCTGGTCACTAGCTGTGGCGGCTCCTGTGAGGAGGGCCGGCTCTTCGGTTATGCAGGGAAGTTTTGCATAAACCTATTGTTACTTTGTAATTGAAGAACATGTTTTGCTCATTTTAGGTATAATTAAAGAATCTGGTGCAAAGCACAAGGGATTGATTGAAATACCCAACCTTTCTGAAGAAAATGAAGTAGACGACACGGAGGTACAGTATCTGTTTCCTTGTTTGTAATATCCAGCTCCTGCTATAGATGGAGAAGGTTTGAAAAACTATTCATCAGACAGCGATTCCTGCAGTTCTGGTCAGTTCTGGAGGGCTTGCTTGCTCAGGCAGCCTGGGGTGTGGAGCGGAGCAGAGTGGTGTAGGAGAGTAAATGGAGGCAGCCCTAGACTGCCCCCCGGACCAGTGTGGGGCCTGGGCCTGCAGCCCGTGGTCTCATCTGTCTGCGGACTGTCAGGTGTCAGGGAGCGTGGGGTTTGGTGGAGGGGTTGTTTCTCCTCCCCTGCATCTCCGCTGTTCCCTTTAATAGTGAAAATCCCCAGCTGTTAGCTGTGATCTCCCTGGGTTATAGCGTATGTTTTTCGTAAACTAACTAGTATGTATTGCTTTTGACTGGCTCTCTGTTCTCTGGGGGATGAGCCTGTGGTAAATCCTAACCCTGGTTTTCAGCCGGTGCCTCCTGTCAGCTGGACGCTGGTTCTGGGGAGAGACCATTTGTACAGCAGCGGTATTTTCCAAACCAAACAGTTTGACAAAATGTCTTTTTTGGTTTGTGAAACTATTCAGTGCGAAGGCTTTCAAAGATATAAAAACTAAAACATCCTGGGCAACAGTCTATGACAGTGACGGCGAACCTATGACATGCGTGTCAGAGGTGACACGCAAACTCATTTTTTTGGTTGATTTTTCTTTGTTAAATGGCATTTAAATATATAAAATAAATATCAAAAATATAAGTCTTTGTTTTGCTATGGTTGCAAATATAAAAAAATTTCTATATGTGACACGGCACCAGAGTTGTTAGGGTTGTTCAAAATGCTGACACGTCGAGCTCAAAAGGTTTGCCATCTCTGGTCTATGACTTGCCTTTATGAAAAGTTATAAAATGCCAGAAAAGGGGGCTGCCTCTGACAAATCTTCAGACATGAGGTTGCTATACTCAGGGGCTGGTTTCACTTTACGATGTTCAGATCCATCAGCTGAAAAATTTTTCATCAGCATAGTAAACTGGTCATTTAGATTCAGTCCTTGGTAGCGTTATAGAAAAACTCTTTAGATGGGACCTGGGACAGACCCAGCTCTGCTGAATCATAGGGACACTAAATGAGTTCTAACCAACAGGGCTCTTCATTCTGAGAATACCAGAAGCATCTCAGAGCAGCATTTTGATGTTTCCTTCTCCCTGTCTCACCCCCCCTTCTGCCTTCCCCCTGCTCCTTTCTGTCCCTTCCCTTCCCTCCCTCCCTCCCTCCCTCCTTCCCTTCTACTTTTCCTCTCCCCTTCCCAGCTCTACTCCCTGCCAGAAATGTGTAGCTCAAGGTCATGTTATGTGGGAAGTTGTTTTTCTTAATTACACTAGAGGCCCAGTGCATGAATTTGTGCACGGGTGGGGTCTGGCTGGCCCGGGCCCAATTGGGGTGGATTGGGGCCAGGCCTGTTAAGAGGAGGAGACGGCAGGAGGTTGGCAAGCTGACCCGCCCCCTATTGGGGTGTGGGGGCGATCAGGGGTGGGGCCAGCTGGGGGGAGGGGCTGCAGGAGGTTGGCCACCCAGCGCCCCCCCCCTCCCCCCGTCTATTGGGGTGGGGGGTGTGATCAGGGGCAGGCTGGCCAGGGGGAGGGGGAGGGGCTGCAGGCCTATCGTGGTGGGGCTGGCTGATCGGGGGTGGCGGGGGAAGAGATGGGGTGTTTGGCCGGCCGCCCCGCTCTTGATCGGGGTGGGAGTCCGATCAGGGGCAGGCCAGCAGGGAGGAGGAGCTGCGAGGTTGGCTGGCCAGCCCCACCCCCTGATCAGGCTGGTTTGCTGGCCACAGTGGGCGTCATAGCAACCAGTCGTTATGGGCCGTTTCGGTCGCTGGTTTTTTATATATATATAGATTGGCTTTGGGGTTATAGACGAGTGCTGTTCAATAGAAATATACCCCCCGGCGACGGGGCGTGCGGAGGGGCGGGGCGGACTGTCCCCAGTGCGCCCCGGGCGAAGTCGCGCCGTCGGGCAAAAAAAAAAAAAAAAGAAATATAATGCAAGCCACATATGGAATTTAAGATTTTCTAGTAGCCATATTTAAAAAAGTAAAAAGAAATGGGTAAAATGAATATTAATGTTATTTAACCCAATATGTAAAAAACATCATTTAGACGTGTAATTAATATCAAAATTATTAGAGATTATTTTACACTCTCTTTTTTTGTACTAAGTCTTCCAAGTCTGGTGTGTATTACTTTACACTTACAGCACATCTCAAGTCAGACCAGCCACCTTTCGAGTGCTGAGGAGCCACATGCGGGTGGTCGTGAGCATGCTTGGACAGCGCATTTCTAGATCCTAGTAAAAGCCATGGACTGCATCAATATAATACATATACATATGAAATTGTGCGCAAATTAAGGGGCTCACATTCTAAAAGTTCATTCCAGATTTGGCCAGCTTAGTCAAGGGAGACTTGATTTAAAAACCCTTCCATTTTCTCAACTATAGGGAGAATCCTGCCTGTCACATCTCTTAATAGTCACTTCTTCCCCTTCCCTCACAGTCACAGTTCCTCTCATCCATTTGTCCCAATGTTGTAAGAATACATCAGACCAGATTTTTCTTAGGTTTGTATTTTTCTGATTTATAGGTGAATGTGAGTAAAAAGAAAGGAGATGGGGATGTACTGAAGGATCTTATGAAAACTGCAGGCACCGCCAAGGTCAGGGAGGCCCTTGGAGATTACCTGAAGGCACTTAAGACGGGTAAAGAAGGCACCCCTTGTGGACCCGGGGCCCCTTTCCTGCGTATGCTCTACACTCTGCTCTGGATTTGCAGGTCAGGCTGACATCTAAGGCTCCAGAAACAACCCTATGCTGCAGGATACATTGTAGGCTGGATGTTGAGAGCTGGTCATAAGTAAGACCGTAATTAGTGGTTGTCAGTCTTGTACACCACGTGAACCATTTTGTCTATAGGACTGTTAAGCTTTCTGGAATGAATGATAATCATTTAATGAGTTATTTGTATAATTAGTTTTTTAATTGGTGTCTTCCCTGACAGACCATGAGCTCCATGGGGGCATGGAAGGGGTCTGTCTTGTTCATTGCTGTATCTCCAACATCTAGCACAATGCTTGGCACATAGTAGGTGCTTAATAAATCTTTGTTGAATGACTGACTGCAGGTAGTACAGGTGTAGTTGAAATTTACCTAGGTAATCCCTACCTATACTATGTGGAAGTGAGGTTATTTATTGCTTTCTTCCCTACATTAGATAAGTTACGTGCCAGGCAAGGTGGCCAACAGGGGCCTGTCTGCATAGCTTCCTTGGGTTCTGCTGTGTCTGGGTGTTGGCATAGATAGGTTTGAGGTTGCCACTGGCCCACAGGCCTGAATATCGTGAGGTGGTGGTGAAGCAATGTGAAAGTGTCCAGTTTTGACAGTAGATGAAGGCCATAAAGCTATTAGTAATTAGTTGTTTAAAAATGAGGTTTTTGGGCCAGCTGGCCTGGCTCAGTGTTGACCTATGAACCAGGAGGACATGGTTCGATTCCTGGTCAGGGCACATGCCCGGATTGTTGGCTTGATCCCCAGTATGGGGTGTGCAGGAGGCAGCCAGTCAATGAAACTCTCATCATTGATGTTTCTCTCTCTCTCTCTCCTTTCCTCTCTGAAATCAATAAAATACATATTTTTTAAAAAAAAATGTTTTTGGAAAAGAGCATTTGAAAATTTTTGCTGTTTTATCAAGAATTGAATAAAAGTGAGGCATTTGAAAAAATAAAAGGCATTTGTTGCTATGAACTCATGTTAGTTTTATATATAAAAACTAGAGGCCCAGTGCACGAAATTCATGCACTGGTAGGGTCTATAGTGGCTGCCTCCCTTCCCCTGGCCAAAGGGACAATTTGCATACTATGCTTTTATTATATAGGATTTGTAATGTTCTTGAAATTCTCAAAATGATTTAGGACTCTTTTTTTACAGTTTTTTTGGGTTTTCTGCCAATTGATGCTGAAAAGGAAAAAAGTTCCTTATTAAAACCATTTCCTATGTTTCCTTTGTAGAATTTACAGTGGGAATGATTTTACCAACCAGAGCAACCGCAACTCAGGAATTGACTGTTAAAAGGAAACTGAGTGAGAACACCTTACAGGTATGATCTCTAGTGGTTAACGTGTAGGGAAGGGGGAAGGAAGTGCTTAGTGAGAATTCTTCAAAGCTCTCAGCAGCCTTTTGATGATGGACTATAGAGCATAGTGAGTCCATCCTTGACTCCATGCTGTTGTGTGTTTTTGTGTTGTTGTTTTTTTTGGGGGGGTGGTGGTGATGAGAGTCTCATCTTTGATGGAAGGGAATGTATAAACACCTTTTTGTGGGATATTGAATTTCATTCAAGATTATTCTAAAGGCACTGTTCTTTGGTAGCAACAGATTTCAAAACCAGGTGACTTTGAGCTTCAATGGACCAACCTTCTCTCCAAACTTTTAGATTGGGAGGTTTTAAATCCTGTTCTTGGAATCTTGTGGTGTAAATTGACACTTTGTCCTTATGTGCTATTGTCTTTGATCTGCTTATCTTCATACCCTTTAAGCCACATTTATATGTCCAAGTAGGACTTGGGGTGTTAAACCATAGCCCAGAAGAACAGAGCTAAAGAGCTCAAAGGAATAATGAGCTGTTTCCAAAGTAAAGGCCAGGACTGGTGGTGCTAAAAAGCCTTTTCATGCTCTCTCTGTTTCTGGAATGGGTAGTGTGAAATTTCGGCTATTTTGGTGTTCTATTAAGGCAGAAAGACTAAATTTTAAAATCTAAGCAACTTTATAACTTGGCATGCTAATTATCCTTTTAAACCTCTTGAGATTCAGGTGCCACTGGGTGTCAGGATCCCCACTGTGGCGCTGCACATGACGGAGCTGTTCGACACAGGTGTAGAGCGGCTGTATAGCATCTTCACTGTGAAAGAGGTGAGTCACTTCTCAAGCTAGGATCTTAAGTGCTGGCACTGGGAGAAAATGTCCCAGAAAGATATGGAGCTGGATTTTGGTTTCCCTTATGTTCATGTTTTCCTGATTGAAGGGATCTAGAACAATGATGGCGAACCTATGACACGTGTCAGAGGTGACACGCGAACTCATTTTTTTGGTTGCTTTTTCTTTGTTAAATGGCATTTAAATATATAAAATAAATATCAAAAATATAAATCTTTGTTTTACTATGGTTGCAAATATAAAAAAATTTCTGTATGTGACACGGCACCAGAGTTAAGTTAGGGTTGTTCAAAATGCTAACACGCCAAGCTCAAAAGGTTCGCCATCACTGATCCAGAATGTGGGGATACAAGTCTTTAGGGTAGCTTCAGAAATATTTGGGGGGGAATATATCAGTAATTAGGGAATACATAAATTTACTTAGTTTTCTCCCTCTGCGAGGAAAACTGTAAATAATTGCAAGCTACATATTCAGGACTTAAAAATTTTGTCTGCCTTCCTTCCATTCTAAAAAAAAAAAAAATCAATGGGAAAAATATCCTCATGTGAGGATTAACACCACCCCCCCCCCCCAAACCATAGTAATTATTCTATACTGAACTAATGTCTATGTTTTTCTTGGTTAGTTGGTGCAGAAATTTTCTAAATCTCCTGCCATATTAGAAGCTGAAAAGGGAGGGAAATTCCAGATGTTTGATGGGAATGTCACCGGTGAATATATAGACCTGGTAAGAAATCTCTGGTTAAAAGAAAAGTAAGCTGGGGACCGACTCATTTCTGTTAACATTCTTTTACTTGTTTTGGGCTTTTAATTGAGCTCACAGAAACTTGAGAACTTTATATAGTTGGTTGTAAAGCAAATAAAAAATGTTATATATAATGAGAAAGTTGAAGCCTTAATTTCACAATATTTGTGCAAATGCTTATGATTTTAGAAGAAACAAGTATAATTCTCCCAGCTCTTGGTGTAGAACATTCAGCTTTCTGCCGCCTGACTCACAGGGTCTGCAGTGTCAAGTGTTAGCAGCTCTGCTCCGTTCCCTGTGTTACACTTGTCCCGACGTTAACTGCTGTTACAGATTTTGGCACTAGGGACAATGAATTCTTAATGGTTTTGGCATATAAACTGAAGGTGGGATTGTATGTTGTTCACTGATAACTTTTAGTACATAAGGGTTTTAATGAAAGGCTTCGCTGTTTTTCTGTATAGTACTGTAGAAAATTTAAAAAGATGTTTTCAGTAGAACTTCCTCTTTGTTTTCAGTTAGCAAATGAAAAGATTGTCATGAAATGGAGATGTAGGAACTGGCCAGAAGGTATGTTATTAGTACCATTTCTTTGTTGTAAGAGTCCGAACACTCAAGCTGTACTCATGTGTTTTCCTCTTCATAATGGTTCCTATTTTTCTTCCAGAACACTATGCCACAGTTGTACTGAATTTTGTGCCTACTCCAGGGCAAACGGAATTACAGTTGGACTGTAAAGGAGTTCCTGTCTGTAAAGAAGAGAACATGAAATTCTGTTGGCAGAAGCAGCATTTTGAAGAAATAAAAGGTTTACTGCAGCTGACCACTCTAAGTGGTTGAATTAGAAGATTTTACAAGAGCATTACTTTTTTTAAGCAGAAAGTTACTTGTTCCCTATCATTTCTTTTAAAAAAGGAAAACAGAAATCTTAATTTATATTGGATGAGATCCATGAACTTTTACAGAATTTAAAGCATTGCTTGAATCTTGACTACAAGTAAGAAATAGCAAGCAACCTGAAATTAAGTACTTAACCTTACCTCCCATAGATGCTCCTCTGGGAATACCTTGAATTCCTGAGTACAGATGTAGTTTCCTAGCCTAAAGTTTGTCCTTGTAGCAAGCTTACTTTCTGCTGTAGTTTTAGTTCAGGAAGACAAGAGTAAGTGGCATGTTGATGTCATTCCTTTATTTACTTCAGGGTTTCTAAGGTAGGTAGCTCTTAGGTTAGTGAAACAGTGGCATGTTGCACTCAGAAGCATGTTGAAGTGAGAGGAGTTGGTTGTATTGTCACACTTCTCCCTGCAGCAGTAAGCATTACAGGGTGGAAAGACTGAAAAGTCTATGGGAATGAGTTACTTTTGGACTGCCACTAACACGACGAAATAGAATACAACCGGTAAGTGCTTCCCCCATTCACAGTTTTCTCATTACTTTCACCTGAGAAGACTGAAGCAACGTATGTAAACAAATTAAAAGTAATCACAATCAGTTTAATTAAGTGCACAGAATAGCAATCAGTCATGTCAATAAAAATAAAACAATTATTTTTACATCAAGTGTGCTTTATTTCCTCCACAGGTATTCTGTTAAATAAAGCACCATTTATATACTGCCAGGCCACAGCTAAAGAGGATTCTTTACAGAATCAAATTTCTTGTGGTTGTTCCGTATACAAGTAAACTTAATTTTGATAATAAGAACCACAGCGATCGGAGGCAATCTGCCTCTATTATAAGGTACAAAACTGGCACAGAAGACACCATATTATACACAGTAAAAATGCTGTAAGTTTAAATTACATTGTACAGGGCCAGGGAACCCTGTTCCTCCCAGACAGCCATATTAAATGAAAGCCACTACAGTGAACTCTTAATTACATAAAACATATCCATTATCTGATTGCCCTTTAGAAAGTATACTGAAGATGCAAATTTTTTTTCATCTGGAGTTCTGCCTGACCAAGAATTAAGCCTATAAATCTATCTTGCCATTCAAGCAGAGAGCACTGGACAAACTGAAGCACAAAAACAGAAATAAGCAAAACTTATACAAACAGCATTGGGGAGCAGGGGACCTTAAAAGTAGACATGCTACATCCAATGTCAAGAAGCAGCTTGGTTTCCTTTGCCAGATATCCTTATGACCACGTGAATTGTTGACTCAATGGTTCTGCACAGGGTATCTAAAATGTCGTGTTGCTGCATGTGACTCAAGAGTCCTCTGGAATGGCCACAACTGAGTGACAGAGCAGCCTCAGGGTCCTGGGAGGGCAGAGGTTGACCATCACAGCTTCTCAAGTCGGCTAAGTCAGACAGAACGGCAGAGATAGAAGTAGAAGGGAACTCTGATTCGTCCTCAGCTAAGTTGGAATCCTTGGGACAGTGGAGGTCTTTCAACTCTTTACACTCTTCAAACCTACCACTGTTGGACTGTTCTTCTGTGTGCTGTGACCTGATATTTGACATGTCTTCTGAAAATGAAGAGGGAACTTCCATTCGGTATTCTTTAACAGAACTATTTTCAGGGGAAGGAAGATCTTGCTCAGTTCCTGGATCAATAATTGAGGAGTCTCTCGTCTCATTGTCTGAAGTGCTGGTTGGGGTCAGGACCTCCCTGGTGTCTGTTTTTATGTCGCTGATGCTGTCTGCAGTGTGCTCCTCATCACTGCTGACACGCCTTCTTTTAACAGGCGTCGCCCCTTCATCATCTGTGAAGACATCAAAACGAACTTCTGTGAAAGGAGCCATTAAGATCACACTGAGGGAGGGGTGTTTATGGAAATTTCCTTTACAGCATTCACATTGAGGAGGCCCATGTGAACAGAGCTATTGTATGGTCAGTTACACCAAGTGTATTCCCTCCTCCCACCCTAAAGTTAATTCTGGTCTATAAAACTAACCTTTAGTTTTTCTTTCTTTGGCTTCTTGCTCTTGGAGTGAGTTTCTCTGCTGCAGACAAGTCCTGCATTTGCTTAAAAGCTCTTGCAGAGTTGGAATTAGAGCTGGGTTTAACTGTTTGGGAGTGTGTACCGACAGAAGCAAAGCAAGTGCCCGTAGGTCCTACAACAACCCGGACACGAACATTTCAAATTCTAAAGCCAACATTTGAAACACTTTGTTCACAGTTCAATGCACATATTTACATTCCCAGGAAGCTACCCTGGCTTCTCTGGCATTTTTAGAAGAATGCTGCAACTAGAAAGCCAATGTTATGATACTATATCTCATCAGTCCTAAGTAACTAATACCATTATTTTATACATCACATCATTTAAAAAGTTAGGAGACTCAAATAGTGTTTTTTTGAAAATGGGGGGGGGGGGGGAGGAGGATAGAACTTATATAGGAATGTAAAAAAAACAAGCCCTGAATGATCTGTGAGAAATTTAGGGCTTATTAATCTAGAAATCCATTTCTCAAATATGTGAAAAACAGTATGGTCTTCTTCCTCATCTCTGTAATCTGCTGGCACCAGCATTTTGTTACTCAGGAGGCTGCTGCTGGAGACATGCCAGCACGGTTCCAGGATGTTCCTTTACTCTATGGCATGGCCATCATGGGAGCCAACATAAGGCAACTTACTAATTCCCTAGTTTTAACTGGCTTTATAATAGATTATTAATCTGATTGGTTAGTTACTTATGAGCAATAGGCAATAGAAAAATCACAATTGTTTCAAAAAATGTAAACAAGTTGAGCTAAAGGGAATGTCTTTTAGTGGTCATACTGCCTTAGGCATTTAATGACATTAGCTCATGTCTTTTAAGGTAGTGAACATGTGTGCACCCTGGCCAGTGTGGCTCGACTGGGTGTCTCCTGTGCACACTGAAAGGTTGCCGGTTTGATTCTTGGTCAGGGCCACCTTCCCCGTTGCAGGCTTGATCCCCGCTAGGGGACATCTAGGAGGCAGTCAATCAATGTTTCATTCTCAAATTGATGTTACTCTAAAAATTAAAAAATGTATATTTAAAAGTGTGTGCTATGTACATAAAAGGGATAGTGAACAAATTTTTAAAACTCTGATTAGTTTTTCATATTTGACTTCTAGAGTTTGAATAATAAAGGCATAATAAAATCACAGTAAGGCCAAATTTAGAGTTGATGTAAGGAAGGTCTGAAGTCCACAGTTCTTACCCCATTTAATGCAGCACTTGCTTTGGACATTTCAATTCGGTTGGTGAAATCAGATTGCAGGTTCTGATACTGATTTATCAAGTTTGTAATAAGGGTGCTGATCAAATTGGCACAGTTTGCTTCAGAAAACACTTGACCTTGAACCTGAAAAAAAGGGATTAAAAAAATCTCCAAAAGACCAACATAATGAAAACACAACCATTAACTAACTGGAAGTAACATACTGAGTTTTCAAAGTACAACATACCTTTAGAAGAAAATGAGTCATGAATGTGTAGACAATGTTGTTGTTTAGGAAAGTTCTTTCATCCATTAGGATACATTTTATATATTCTGCAAAAACGGGATCTTCACACAAAAGCTTGATGCAATTTTTTGACAGGGCAGACTAAAGTGGGGAGAAGAAGTACTGATGGGTGAGCACTGAAATCACTGTAAACCTCAAACATACTGCTTATGATGTACAGGAGTCTGTGCATCCGACTGGAAAAACACTTGTAACTGTCTAAACTTTCAGTTACAGCAACTGTCCTCCCATCAGTTAAAATATTACTAACTTGGACTATATGGGTGAGTGCCAGCAGAAGAGACTTATAAAAGGGTTTGAATGGCAAAACTAACCAATATTTCCTTTAAAATAATGCAGCTTTAATTAACATTAAGAGAATTAAAGGACTGGTCAAATAGAATGTTTTTAGGGGACCAATTAATGGATAATAGGTAACCCGAGCACAGGTAGAGATAATTTTAGAACTTAAATGTATTCTCTAAAATGAGTTAAAACTTTTGCTGTATTATCTCATTAGTAGTAGTAATTTGTTAAAACTCTTCCCCCCCCTCCCCCCATAAATATTGCAAAGATAAACAGCAAACCTCTTCCTAATTATCTCAGTGGTTTCCAATATATGGAAATTTCATTTTCCTGTTTTCAAATGGTCATGGCTCTTAAACACAAGTAGTATGTCTTTTAATAGATATATTCCCTAGATAACTTATGTGTGTTTTAATAACAGATCATTTATATGGAAGCAAAACAGACTTTTAAAAAATAGGACAAAAGTTTAGATAATATGTACATTACATACTTACAGGTTTTATTACAGTAACTAGTAAGTAAAATATTCAAGGACGCCCTAACTGGTTTGGCTTAGAGGATAGAGCATCGGCCTGTGGACTGAAGGGTCCCAGGTTCGATTCTGGTCAAGGGCATGTACCTTGGCAATGGGCACATCCCCGGTGGGGAGTGTGCAGGAGGCAGCTGATCGATGTTTTTCGTTTATTGATGTTTTTAACTCTCTATCCCTCTCCCTTCCTCTCTGTGAAAAATCAATAAAATGTATTTTTAAAAAAATACTCAAGGTCACCCAAAAATTAGTCAAGTAGGACCAGGACCATGTCTTCAGATTTTTGGTGTCAGGAAAAGCTGCCTTATTCTCCCAGTCACACACAGCCTCTGCCTCTGCCTATGGTTCTCGCACAGGATTGCCGGCAGGGACTTAGGAAGCCTCAGCTGGACTGGTTTTGGCAGTTGGGGGATGGTGAATTCTGGGGCAGTGGGGAAGCCAAATAGAGTAGGAGAGTACAGCACAATAGGGAAGCAATAGGAAGTGGCAGAGTGCAGCCCTCACCAACACATACAAATAAAGCAACCATCCAAATCAAGAAGAAAGATCAACAACAGAGAAGGAAAAAAGCAGAGATCTGATCTGCTTTAATTTACTGAATAGACCACTCAGCTAAAAAATCAACCAGCAACTCATTTTCTGACTGTCTATGAAGTACTAAACCATGTGGTCAATGTGACTAGCCTTTCCAAGATTCCTACTGTAGGAATGACATTTCTTCAGGGAACAGAGATGACAGATAAAAGTGTCTGCACTAGAGGAGCTCAGAGTTTGGGACAAGGAGAGAACTATTACAGTACCTGACACAGATCCATTATGAGAACATACAGAACACTATACCTGGGCAGGAGGCTGGACCAAGCTCAAAGTAATTCAGATACTATAATATGGATAAAAGGTTTATGCCCAAGGGAAGTTAAGAAACCCATCTCTTTCTCTGGAAATGAGCAGATGTAATCAGGCAGGAAAACAATACCTTTTTCAGGGTCTAAAAGAGTGGGGATCCTTTTTGCCTGACCTAAGGAATGAGCCCAACCTTTGGACCAATCTGGTTTCTCCCCCCTCCAGGACATTCTCCCTCCACAATTTAACACGTGTTATTTAGGTGCCCACTTTAAGAGGTTGGCTCTCAGATACTTAAGGGCACAGTATTTCCTGTTTTTTTTATGAGATTAATGATGAGAAAACAAGTGCATCCGACTTGAAAACTACTTGGAGGTAACATAAGCAAGAGATAAAGGACAGACTGCTGAAGTAGTTTCTGCTAGAGCTTTTGGAATGGTGGAGGGAATCAAGAGACAAATGGGGGCAAGGCAGAGAGAACAAGAAGTGACATGTCTTCTTCCCCTAGTACCTCCATTTTGGATTTTTACCACAGCTATTGATATTGACCTACAAATGAAGAATTCAATTATAAACAGCTTATTAGAAACTAGAGGCCCTGGTGTACAAAAAAACTGTGCATTTGGGGGGTCCCTCAGCCTGGCCTGTGCCCTCTCGCAGTCTGGGACCCCTTGGGGGATGTCCACCTGCTGGCTTAGGCCCACTCCCTGGGGGGGACTGGGCCTAAGCTGGCAGTCGGACATCCCTCTGGCAGCCCGGGCGCCCTTGGGGGATGTCCACTTGCCAGTGGGGAGCAGACCTAAGCTGCAGTCGGATATCCTTAGCACTGCTGAGGAGGCGGGAGAGGCTCCCACCACCACCGCTGTGCTGGCAACCGTCAGCCCGGCTTGTGGCTGAGCAGAGCTCCCCCTGTGGGAGTGCACTGACCACTAGGGGGCAGCTCCTGCATTGAGCATCTGCCCCCTGGTGGTCAGTGTGTGTCATAGTGACCAGTCATTCCCAGTGGTTCTGCTGTTAGGGTCAATTTGCATATTACCCTTTTATTATATAGGATATCCTGTGATACAAATCTACTGAAGTCAAAAACTTCAGAGAGCAACTAGATGCCCAATGCTTAATAGCTATTATTTCCATTAATCATTTTTTACTTATGAAGATTCTAAAATAGCCCTCAGTGTCCAGCCAGCTTTCAACACATTGTTCCTAAAATTACTGACCACCTGGGTCATATGAGATTAAAGACCAAATAATCTAAAACTAATGTTCTTTACCTGAGTCTGGCATAGCTCAGTCCAAAGTTTGGGAAACAGTGCAAGATGAAGTGGCAAACCTTCATAGGCAACTAGGATACCTAATATTTGAAAAGAAATCAGAATAGGTTATAAATTGCACTACTGAGGTATTGAACTGCAATGCAGGTGCATTATAATAGCTACTTCTAATCATAACTATGCATATTTTCTATCTTTTAGAAATATGTAAAATACTTAAAGGGAAGAATTCATTCCAATGTTTTAACCACATAAATACTTTAGAATGCAGTACACTTTTAATTTTTTAATATCCCACACCTCATTCTCAGAAGAATCTGAGGCAACTTAAACCAATTCTGCTTTTTGAGTACTGGAACTTTATTTGGGACAATTTAATAAAGGTTACTGCGCCAAGTGTTCTAAAGCTTTCTTGGATTAAGGTACCACTTTGCCTATAGAATTTTTATGCAACAGCTAGACTGCAAGGTAGATGTGTGCGCCCATGCACGTGAGCTTTCCTAAGATCAAAAAGATATTCAGAATTAGATGACATCATTACTTCCTCTTTTACCTTATTTCTCTAAAGATAGGGAGAATTAAACACTGCTCTGAGTCTAACAGCTTCTAGCCTTGTTCCTAGGATCTATTGGATAGACCATACCTAGCTGTATGTCAGCATCCTATTTGGAACCTCTGTTGTTTTAATCTTTCCTCTTCTTGCCTGTTCCAGATGTCAAGTACATCTGTAAGAAATTCGTTCCCCTACCCTCTGCCCTCCCACCTCTCAAACCACAGAAATTTCGATACCATAGTTTGAAGTCAATTTCCCATCCTTCACTCTTCCACCTCTAGGCAAAGTATAATCATGGGGAAAGAGAAATACAATAAAAGCTATGTCCTCCATTAAAAAATATTATAAATTAGACCTAAAGTGAGCAAATTTTTCTGTAAAGGGCTAAACAGTAAATATTTTAGTCTTTGTGGCCATATGATCTCCTCTCTTAAAACTACTCAACTCGGCAGAGTAGTGTGAAGACAGTCACAGATAACATTAAATGAATGGGTGTGGCTGTCTTTCAATAAAATTTTAAGAACACTGAAATTTAAATCTCATGTGGTTTTCATGTGTCACAAACTATTCAGAATCTAGTGGGGGTTTTTAAACTACCTAACAAGCAAAAACCTTCCTAAGCTTGAAGGTAGCTCACTGGTTATACAAAAACAAGCAGCATGCAGGCTCTGTTTGCCAACCTCTGGATTAGACCAAGGATTTGAGAAAATTTTAGAAAGGGAAGTCAGATCAGATCAGTCACCCAATTTAGTCATCCAAAGATGCCTTGACTCCCTTTTGTGGGCAAACCCATTTGCTTTCCAGTCAAGATTAATCCCTTAATAAAGATCCATGGAAACTCCATCATCTTTCTCTTGTATCTAATATACGTAAGCAAACAAGGGCATGTCATCAACTGTTGGAACAGAGTATCTATAACCCATATCCCAGCATCATAATTACCCATAAAAGTAGAGCAGGAGCTGGCAAACTGTGGCCCCACAGCCTGTTTTTGTATGGCCATGTAAGCTAAAATGAGTTTTCACATTTTTAAAGGAGTGTAATAAACAGGCAAACAAAGAATATGTGACAGAGACCACATACAGCCTGCAAATCTAAAATATTTAATATCCAGTCCTTTGCAGAAAGTTTGCCAACCCCTGAACTAAAGGCTGCACTGACATAAACCCTCTTACGGAAAGCAGACTGTAGAATTCAGTTTATATTTCTCTGGTCTTTATTCTCTTTGCTTCTTCAAAGTAAAACAATCTTTAATCCTATTTTCCATAACTACCAAAAAGCCAGCACTACCACAACAAACAAAACCCCCATGGAGGCCTTTTATAATCTAGGTAGCTTAAAGAGATATTCTGATACAAGTATCTTTATTTTACAAGTGAAGAAGAAAATAAACACATGCTGACATCTACTGTGCTAGGTATGTCAGATATTCACACTTTTCTCTTCAATTTGGAGGCATTATTCTCATTTTTGTTCCCTTTTTTGGATGAGGAAATTATGCTCAGATAGATTATGTAATCTGCTCAGGTTCATCCCAAAAGCCAGTGAACGATACATTTGTGTCTACCCTAGATTTATCTGATTCTAAATCATGGGTTTCATGTAGTAGGTATGTATTTTTGTAATACAGTAAGATCCACACATATTAAATATAAACATTATTTTCCCTAGCCCGTGGTCGGCAAACTGGGGCTCGCGAGCCACATGCGGCTCTTTGGCCCCTTGAGTGTGGCTCTTCTTAAGCCTTAGGAGCACCCTAATTAGTTAATAACAATGTACCTACCTATGTAGTTTAAGTTTAAAAAATTTGGCTCTCAAAAGAAATTTCAGTCGTTGTACTGTTGATATTTGGCTCTGTGACTAATGAGTTTGCCGACCACTGCTAGGCCATCCTGTACACTGCACTCTGGAAACACACCCACGATACGCTAAGGACCCTCTTCATCATCCCACCTACTCCCTTTCCAAGTGACACCTCCTTTGGAAGGAAGAGAGTTTCCATTTCTTCCTAGCATTTTCACAGAACACTGAGGATCAGGTGCATCTTGGCTCTGTGACTCATGGTAGACACCGATATCATCCTACTCCACACACTCCTCTGGTACCTCGTGAGGAATCTTCACTTACTGGGCGGAAAGCACAGTGTGATGCAGTCACCCAAGTTCTTAGGCACACATCCAAGCTTTGTCTCAGTAAAACAGGACGGGCAGGCCTAAAACCTACTGGCTTCTATACACTTATATTTCTTCATCCCCCACGCACAAAGGAACTAATACACAAGAATAAAAAACTATTGCAACATATCTTTTCTTCATCAGTAACACTTATACTGTAGCAGCTGCTGGTGTGTTATGAAAAATCTTAAAACTGCTTTTGTAGGTAAAATAGTTCAGATGATTGCTGTGAGGATAAAATATTTCATATGTATATTTACCAGTTAGGGTTACGCCTATCTGAATTATATGACGATTCTTTATCTAGTTTTTATAGGAGTATTTATCATATCCCAGCATTATCTATGGGAAGTGATAGCTTCAGCCAATGGATGAAAGGCCCACAATTCAGTCTCAATGCTCCACTGTGAAACTGAATCACCAAGACCTCTTAGATGCTTCTAATTCCCCTTGTTATGACTTCCAACCACTAAGTAACCTACTGTTGTCTACTTGGCTTCCCTTGTAGGTTACTGGAAAAATCTGCTGGTCCTACCACAGAATATTCAAATACCGGTGCCAGTTTTTTTTTCTATGTAAATTACCAAATTGCTATAGTAAGTAAAATTATAAATATGTCTATTACATATAATTACCATGTATTAGTCTAGGATAAAGGGATTTATTTGCCTTTGGTGGACTAATAAATGCTGGCTCTGATCTGCACTAAGTGGTTGGCCCTGTTCTGAAGTACCTTTTCAGAAACAGCTAACCAGTTGCTTCTCTAATCAAATACCACCTTGACATCACAAAAAGGTAAAGCATGAACCAGTGCTGTGTTTTTTATGATTTGAAATTTTAACACATTTACTTTTACCAACTATAACAATTTTTCAATTCTAGATATTTGAAGATTATGGATTTTCTAGTAATGTCATGTTACTTTAAGAAAATCTATTTTTACTTCTGGCTATTAATGCATTAAGCAAACTTTCCAAAACCATGTTAAATAATAAAGGTGATAAATTCTTGTCTCTGAAGATTATTTAACTGAATGATGAAATCTAGGGATTTGTAATTAAGTTTAATTCTACTTGAGCATCTTGTTAATTCTGCATAAACTATATAGTATCTAAAAAATGGTATTAGAATTTGTAGTACCAGTTTTCTGTTACTTTAAACTTTTTTTGTTTCCCAAATACAAAAACAACGCATGATCCTTACAAATAATTTAAACCTTAACAGATATTCAACCTAGAAAATAAAAACACCCCATAATTTTATCCATATGCAATTAGAACATAATCCTCTATAGGTGTTAATTTTTTTTTGCATATACTGAGTGATTTTCCCCCTTTTAAAATGAGAATGTATCAGCCCAGGCCAGCGAGGCTGTCAGTTAAGTGTCCTTCCATGTACTGAAAGGTCAGGCACAGGCCTCGGTTGCAGGTTCCATCTCCTGGTAGGGGGCATGCAGGAGGTAGCCAATTCACGTTCCTCTTTCTTTCTCCCTCTTTCTTTCCCCCTCCCCCCACTAACTCTCCCCCTCTCTATAGAAAAAAAAAAATCAGTTTAAAAAATCGGTTTCAAATGTCACATTCTGTCTGCATAGTTTTCCAATTTATTTTTTTCACATAAATTCCATTTTTTTATTTTAAAGGCTAGATAAACTTTGGTTTATTTAACAAAGCTCCTATTAAGGGACATTGGATTGTTCCCAATTTTTAGTACAAACTAAGTGAAAATAAACATCTTATGTATATTGTTGTACACACTTATGAGTGACTTTCTAGATCTAAGTTGATGCCAAATTGCCTCTCCAAACCGACCCCAGTATAAGATGTTTTTCCCCCAAACATGTGTTTTATCTAAACTTTAACTCATAGTTGGAAAAAAGAGAAATTCTTATTTGCTTTCTTTATTTATGAAGTTCGGACTACTTTTCATATGTACTGTGCATGCGTGTGTGTGTATACTGCCTATTCATGGTTTTTGTTTATTTTACTTTATATTCTTTACCATCATATGGAATCCTAAACACTCTGTTATTTGGCAATACTAGCCATTTATCTGTTACAAATGCAAATATTTTCCCCATTATTTCTTTGTATTTTCATTCAATTTATGGCATTTTAAAAATTATATAGTATTTTTATGTAGACAAAATTTTCAATTTCTTATTGTTTCTGGGTTTTGTTTCCTGAGTCTTTCAAATCTCAAGGTGGCATCTATATAATCTCTAACATTTCTATGATTTTACTCTTCACAATTAAATCATTAATCCTCCTGCAATACATTTTGGTCTAAGGCAGCGGTTCTCAAACTGTGGGTCGCGACCCCTTTGGCGGTCAAACGACCCTTTTACAGGGGTCGCCTAAGACCATCCTGCATATTAGATATTTACATTACAATTCATAATAGTAGCAACATTACAGTTACGAAGTAGTAACAAAAATAATTTTATGGTTGGGTCACAACATAAGGAACTCTATTTAAAGAACCACTGGTCTAAGGCATGAAGCAGGTATTCAAGGCTTCCCACCTTCTCCCAGATGACTATCTCAATACCACCCATTCACCATTAATCTGATGTGTCCTCGTATATCTTTATATTTGTTTTTGAACCTTTTTCCCACTGTTCTGCCTGTGTATTTCCGTATCTGCATCACATGGTTTTAATCATTACAGTATATTTTTATTTAAGAAAGGGGGGAAAAAATAAACCCGTACTTGCTGTTTTTATGCAAAAAAGGGATAAACAAAAAGTGAATAAAAAGTGGTAGGAGGCTGTGAGTGTTATGATGTGTACCTGATATTGTTTTGAATTGTGAACTACATATTTAGTAAATACTAAAAAACAAAATTACTGTATCTTTAGTAAGTATTTAAAAATCAAGAGTGCCAGTCCCTTTGTCAGAACTTTTCTAGCTAAACTCCGCTATAGTAAAGTATCAAAATACTGTGGTTTCAGACAGTTATTTCACATGGCAGTCAACAGCCTGTTCACCCTTCCTGAATTCTCTTCCCACTTCTGTCTCTCCTAACCCCATACCTGACTGTCCTCACTTCAAAAGTACTTCTACCCTCCCTTTGTTTACGATTTAGTACTTGAAACTCTATCCCCTGCAATTCTAATCTATAGTTATTACATAATTACTTTTTATCCCCTAATAATCTTAAAATCTGCTCAGTTACCCATGTGAAAACTACCACAAAGACTTTAATTCAATGACTTGCAATCCAATATAGGTCTTGAGACAATCCCACCTATGGTTGGTCACAATATTCTGGCCCTTGGACCATCTAACCTCAAGACTCAAATGATTAAGAACACAACCAACTTAAACTTACCCTTTCCTCTCCTTGTTGTCAAATATAATTTTTTGAAGAAATTATACAAATGAAAACTCAACTCTCTGCTTCCCATTACAGTCATTAATGTGGGCTTTGCTTTGTTCAAGCTCTTTCCTAGGTGACTCTCCTGGAAACAATTATGTCAGCTGGAAAAAGGAGTTGCCTTCAAACACTGAGACATAATCTCTCCATTTATACGAGGCACAAGGAAAGCAATGTTTTTAGGTTTCTGTCTTATTTCATATCCAATTTCCTGCATTAAGTAAGATATAACCATGAAAAATTTCTATCCTGCTCAATTTGTGAAGGCTTTGGTTTCTATCTAGAGCTGTGCTATTATTATTATTATTTTTTAGGCTAGTTTAGACTAGTCAAGTGAAGCAGTGGGAGTGGAGAAGGAACAAAGAAATCTGTAACTGGCTGTGATCAATTAGTTGTAAGACACCAGCCAATGTGCTATTCTAATACAGTAGCCCACCAGCCACATCCGGCTCTTTAAATTTAATTTGGTTAAAATAAAATAAAAAAATCAGTTCCTTAATCAAACTTCAAGTTCTCAACACTCACATATGACTAGTGGCTATCATATTATGCATGGTGATGCAATTGGAGAATATTTCCATCCTTGTAAAAAGTTCTATAGAATAATGCATATGTAGAGAACTAAATACCATGAGACAGCATAAACAGTGCTTCGCGGTTTTAATAGTACTAAGAGTATAAAATATTATGAAAGCTGAGTCAGCTAATGTGGATGTCTGAGTTGTCCTTTTCCTCCCTCCTCCTGCTTCCCTCCATATATAATGTCCTTAAAACTGTATATTTGCGTTGATAAGAAACAGTTCCAAACAGGAAAGAACATTCAATATTTGGTTAGAGCTGTTCAAGTAGCTAAAATAGCTCCTCACATAATTTTTGGTAAAAAACACATGAACACAATTACCAAGAACTTTTTTTAAGGTCAGCATCTTTATAAGTCCCCTCTTTATCTGGGAGCAAGGCTGTGTTACTAGAACTCTTGGATATTATCTTACATCTGATCACTGCTGCTGCTACGTTTTAGCATTTTACCAAGTGCCACAACCCAACTGTGCAATCATAAAATGGCCGATCTGAGCATATCCTCACCCCTCCCACCACCATGTTGGCACCTCAGCTACATATATATTCAGCTAATGATAACAGGTGGAAGGAACAGCCTTTCAAATCTGAAGATGCTCTAATCACTTACCAATAAGATGGTTTTTCTGAAGAGGAATTATCCCTGACAGCTTTTACCACTTCCTTCTTCTTGGATAATGAAACCTAAAATAGGTTCACATCTTTTGCCCTACCTATAATGGATCAAAACCTTTTCCAAGAAAGGGAGGGGTTGTGATTGAGAAGGAACACAAGGGGACTTATAGGGTTGTAATTATAATTATGTGTGGTAACATTCTATTTCTTGACCTGCGTGATAATTCCATGAGTATTTTATTTCCCATGCTCTGAAATAAAACTCCAAAACACTGGAGAGGATCCTGGACCATCCCTAAAGAAGCAAGACACACAGACCCTGGGAACTCTGGAGGTCCTCAGATAAGGGACATCTGATGAGGGCTACATGTCTTCCAAAGACTTATCAGCTAAAAAATGTCACCCAAAGGGAGCATTCTCTACAGCTCTCAGGCACATCCTTGGAAAGACAATATTACTTATTAATTGGCATTTTCTTCCCCCTTAATAATTCACTGATGGTTTTGTTTTCTATTTCTCACATATTCCTTTTCAAATTTCCCTTTCTACTCACCTCTCTATTTTATGAGACTTACCTCCTAATTTACTCATATATGCACCTCTGCTTCACCCTAGCAAGCCCAGTCAGCTTGCTCTTGGTGTTACCAGCTCCAAAGCACAGCTGGCACTATAGATCTCAACTTACCCTCAAGATCAGGGCTGGGGAAATAAGCCTGTCTTCCTAAGCAGAACAGTTTTTGTTTTTCAATTCTGCTGGGCAGGTGGAGGAGGACATGGGCTTCTACATACAAAAGTGAGCAGCCCTACTCCACACTCCTGTATAGGCCAGCTGAAACTCTGGGCAGAACTATTCAATGGAAACCAGTAAGTTGGTGTTTTCTTAATAAAAATAAAAATGTTCCCAAGAATAATTAATATTTTTAAACATTCACTTTAAAAAATAAAAAAAGGATTGTCTCATTTTTTTCCTCCCCTTCCTGAATGGCTAAGGGCTTAAAATAATTCAGTGGAATTTACTGCTCATCTTTTATACTTACTCAGCTTAACTAATGTTTCAGTAAATTTTTCACAGTTGATTGCAACTCGGCATAATAGATGGATGAATTGATGATAAGAAAAGAAGTAGTCTAGCAGCATACGATCATAAACGTCATCTTTGCCCTGAAGGTTAAAGATGATAAAATGGTTGCACTTAAATTGTATAATAAATTAAAGAGCATATTTTGTGCAAATGTAATAAATTTAACTAAAAAGCTGATTAAATATTTAAAATCTATAAGAATCTAGTTTTAATTTCCAAGTTTCTATTAAGGTTATTAAGATCTTAATTGTCACAAGTTTATTTTCAGTGTGCAAATGCTGTCAATTAAAATTACCCATTATTTCTACATACTTTAATAAAGTAAAATTACTATAAGATTTTAAAATGTGATACTTTCACTCTATAGACATAAAATCAAGAAGGATTAAATTTTATTTTTGAAATAGATTCCAAATTATTTTTGTAATGGTTACTATAGGGTTAATTATTTTTATAGTTTATCTTATAAAAACTCAAGTATATTTAAGATACAAAGATAGTGGGGGCAAGGGAGAGTGTGAATGAAGTGGGGTGAAGAAAGGTAAGTGGGAAAATTGTTTAAAAAATGTTGAAACTAAAACAAATTATCCTGTACCTTTTCTCCATAATTTAAAATTAGTATTATTTTTAGAATAAGCGTTAGAGGACAAAAGTCAAGACTACAAATGATAAATCTATCAATTGTGATACAAAGCTTAGGTCAAAGGATTATAATTAAAGGTAAGAGAAGTCATTGATTACGTGAATTTAAACAGTAGTAAGTACCTAACTTGACTTTTCAGGTTTAGATATATATGACCCAATTATAATTTGGCCTAGTAACAAACACTAATAAGGTTTTCCATTAAGGTATTTTTAAGGGGGGAAAAAAAAAACTTACTACTTGTACTTATTGTTGATTTTGCAAATATTAAACCAAAATTTCTGAGCACTATAAGGAAAAGTCCAAATGAGTCTAATCTTTTTAGGATCCACAAAATGGTCATTTAAGTCTAATATACTCTTAACTGCCAGAGGGGAAATTTCAAATTACTGTGTACTATAGAAACATGGTTTTCCTGGCATCCCAACATACCTTACTGGTTTCCACCATTGTGGGCAAGAGGCACATATTGAGTTCAGGGCGCGGAGGCCGAATATTGCTTTTCCCTCCTATTAGCTTGATATTTTCTCGACAAGGGAAATAAGGTCCAAGAGACACTAAGACATTAAAAGTGTACAATAAGAATAAATGGAAAAAATAAATCTCCATGTTTCAGTGTGCAGAAAGATTAAATGCCAACCATATTCAAGGACTGGGCTAGATGAATACATACTTGGTATGTTACTGTGATGGTAAGTACAATGGTTGTGTTGTAGAAATGGAACCAGAGTATGAAGAAAGTCATGGGGACTCAAAAGCACAAGTTCCTTGAGGACATCTGAAAATAAGAACACAATTTGGGTATTAAAAAACTGGAGTATGTCTACCAACTTTCAAACTCAAAAACCCGTTTGGAGTGACTAGTTGCAGTGTGGCAGCTGGAAAGTTTTAATGGGTCTAAAACTGTTTTAGCTCCTGACACTGGGAGAAATCATGTCTAATCCTCAATCAAAACTGGATCAGCAGAGTTACTAACCACAAAAGGGCTATCATTTAGATACTAAAATTTAAAACTATTTATTTGTATATTATTTATTCAAGAGAAGCATCATGGAGAGTACCTGAGGGAAATATTTAATGCACATTGTTTTCATAAAATCAACCAAAGAAACATATTAATGTAAATAAGGTTCAAAGTTCTTCAGATATAAGGAGTAATCCTTAATCTACTTTTAATGTTTCATGGTGCCGGTTGGACTGACTCTCATCTTCTAATCACGTAAGTGTCAAGCTCATGACGACAGGCAACTGGGAGAGATTCTGGCAAGATTACCACCATGCGCCTCTCTCCTCTTGTTGGAGAGTCATAGGCCAGTAATTCCACAGACCGTCAGGCCAATGCCTGCTAAGACTGACTGCTACATATGACAGCCAGTTCGTTATTCATGTTATTTTGAGAAACTCTTATAAGCAGTTATAGTATCTAAAGATTTAAAGTGGCTTCTAAAGTAGTAAAAATTCAATATAAGCCAAAACCGGTTTGGCTCAGTGGATAGAGCGTCGGCCTGCGGACTGAAGGGTCCCAGGTTCAATTCCGGTCAAGGGCATGTACCTGGGTTGTGGGCACATCCCCAGTAGGAGATGTGCAGGAGGCAGCTGATCCATGTTTCTCTCTCATCGATGTTTCTAACACTCTCTCTCCCTCTCTGTAAAAAATCAATAAAATATATATATTTTTTAAAATTCAATATAAATTTAAAATGAGGGGGGTCCTTTAACAGGCACAAATTATTTTATTATTAATATGCAATTAATAAAAAGGTAAAATACTTAGGAGTTAGGAGTCTTTGAACAACTACTAAGAAGTATCTTTAGGCAAAAGAGCTCACAGTGAAATAATCACCACAACCCTTTACAAGGTCAATTCTACTTTGTAAACATTTGCATGATTCTATCTTGCTTCTATAGGACAGAATATTCAGAGCAAGAGATCTAGAGATAACCTAAGGTCAAACAGCCCAGATATATTAAGTGACCAGCCTATGATCATAAAGGTAATTATTGGCATGTTAAGAAATAAAATTTGATTTTCTTAAGACCTGTTGGCTATTGCAAGTAATACATACTGGTAAAAAGTACAAATGTCTTTCCAAACCCTACAGAACATCACATCTTATAGAAAAATAGTCCCACAAAAATGTTCTTTCACTAGGGTTTCTAAGTTACTTACCGATACAGGCATTTCTAAGTTCTGGAGGGCTATAGGAATTAAGAAGAGTTAACAGTTTATGGGCAAATTCAATTCGTTCTTGCCACTGGATTAATGCTTGTTTCACATCTGCAAATACAAAAACACACATAAATATGCCACTTGAGATCAAACCCCCTCAATTATTTTCTATATAAACTACAGAATACTAACACTAAGAAACTCATATTAATTACATAAACATCTTGGGTAAAAGCTATGATTGTTTTCATCCGATGGCTACTACTGTTAAACCTGCTAGATTTCTTAAAGCACAGATTTTAGTGATGAATATACCCTATTTTCTAGAAATTTATATGAAGTTCAGAGTTCACATTATCTTACAGGGACACAAGAGATATTTTTATAGTTATTTCTCTTGAAACTAAAATGATCTAATCTAAGCCATGAAGTTTCATGCTTAGAGAACCTTCACATGTTGTTATACTCATGTTGTTAGTGGCTGGAAATGTTTTCCAGTCTCCTACATCTTGACACTTACAACATGCCTGACTATTTTGGGGGCAGACATAAAGAAAATAAGAGCACTTCAATCTTATATCAAGAGGTCATGATAAGCATTTCCTTTTGACTAGCAACAGCCCCATCTTCTGTAACTGGAGATAAAAACAAATTCTCTGAAGCATGCGGTTTAAACGCCTTATTTTATTCTTTAACAGTTGAACTAACAACAATAAAAACAAAGCAAAAAAACAAAACAAAAAAAGAGAGGAATAGCCAAACCTTTTCTCTGAAGATATGGACGTGTAGACTTCAATACCGAAAGGAATATTGACAGAAGTTCTACTAAGTCTCCAGTCACATGGCAAGCGGTGGCTTCATGATACATCATGTGCAGTGTGTTGAATGACTACAAGTGATTTAAAAAATAGAAAACTTCATTTCATTTTTACTTTATTGAGCCACAAAATTGTAGAGCTCAGTTGTTTTCAGGCTCAGACTATGTATATGCATACAAACACAAAGAAAATGTATATGTTTTTTATCTAAAAGTCAAATTCTCTCTTTCAGCTCTTTTAAAATATAAAACAGTCCTCACACTTCAGAGCCCTCATATTTTGGGTACACATTTTAGTGTGAAGAAATAATTTGTTTAATCAGATTTTTCTTCTTTTTGTTACTGTTTGCTCTAAGATGGCAAGCCTTAGAGAGTATAAGGCAGCAGGCAACAACATGAAGATTAGGGAGAATAGCATGGCTTCTGAAGAAAGAAAATGGTGACATAGTTGTCAGCTATATTCAGAGAAAGAGGTAAAAGAGCTCAAAAGGGTAGGAATTTCTTTCATCACTAGTGGCCCGGTGCACAGATTTGTGCACATTGAAAGGAAATTAATTAGAAGAAATATTTTAATATTGCTATTTGCCCTTTCTCTATAATAGAAGTGTCAACCGAATTCACGATTGACAATGACAGAAACACATGTGTAATTGGCGCCAGCGAGAGCTTTACTTGTATCATGCATGCGTGAGTCAACTTACCCTTTTATAGATATAGAATAAACTTGCTTAATTAGACCTACTTTCTGATTTAGCTAAACTTTTCCAGCCCAGTGAAGCACTTCTCTTTCAGGTAATTGTCAGCAACACAGCAGTAAATATCAACACAAAGCAAATTATTATTGTAGATCACGCAGGGAAAATAAAGGGTGAAATATTTAACTGCAGCAGTGTTTGACTATATTCTGCGCAGTGAGAAAACCTGAAGTACTTTCAAGGTTCACCATTTCTTACTTCTTTTCAAGTTGGGTCAAGTTTCTCAGCTTTCTAAATCTCCGTTTTCCGGCTAATGAAAAGAAAATAGGATTCCACCGAGTCTCCTATCTACCTACTACAGGACTTCTGTGAGGATCAAATGAGATGAGGCACAAACATTTGGTTACAGTGTAAAATGTTTCCACCTGGCTATAAAGCAAGTTGAGTTCCTGGGCTGAAGAAACTCCAAGGAGGCTAGTCGTGAGGGAGAGGAAGCTGGGCGTTGCTACGTAACGTCATTACCCGGATGGACACTTAGCATATCAGCCTTTTATATATATAGGTACTGGCTTGTTAAATCTATTAACTCCTTTAACTATATATTAGTTTAATTAAACCCTTAGATTTTTTTCCCCACTTCCTTTACACCAAAGCATCTTTTTTCTAATCCTCTAAAATCAGTTCAAAATTCATGGCCTAATCTGTGGCAGTACATAATCTGAATGATGTACTTATGCGGCACTTAACCTGTAGACTGTGAAGACAGTAACTACAGTGCCTAGCACAAAGCCTGGCAGAGAAGACATTCAGATATCTGCTGAATGAAATTCTCACTACTGCTCTTTCATTTACCTTTTGTTTTAGCCAAACAGAAAAGTTGGCATTTCTCAAATACGACCAAAACTTTCTTGCCTCTGTGCCAATTAAGTCATTTATCATTCCAAGTCCAAATTCTTCAACGTAGTTTCAAACATGTTGTATTCCTATTCTGCCATACCATTTTCTGGAAAAAACCACCCTACCTCCTAATCACATGGTACCCATGGCATATATCTTTCAACTTATCTCCATTAGTAGACTAAAGGTTACAATGGACCTCTATGGCCTTAAAATCATCTCAAAGCAAGGATGTTCAAGAATTATGGGAAGAATGAATGGCTGATTTTAACCACCTGTCACAATCTCACTAGCTTTCTCTATTATGCTAAGCTCAGTTTCTTAATGCTATCAAATGAGTGAGCTCTTGAGAAACTGTGCCTTTGAATAAAATGCATAAAACTAGTCTATTTCAAGTGGTTGTTCCAAATACAAACTGACGGGGAAAGTATGGAATTACTATGGAAAAAGTAAATAGCACCCTAAAAATTGTGACTTAATTATTCTCTGAATATTAATTAGCATCTACTGATTGGTATAATTAAAATCTAAATAGCTGTGAAACAGTCTACCATAAACTCTAAATATCCACAAAACAAGAAGTCTTGGTGAGAAAATAAAAATGAAATAAATCTACAAAATATTTACCTCAGTCATCAGGATCAACCCTCGATTAAATACAACAAGAAGCCTGTCTTCATCAGATTCTAATAATATTCTGAAGGCACTGGAAGAATACATAAAGTCTAATTTGAGAATTCTGAATCAGAATAGAACACTTTGCTCATTAAAAACACAAAACAAAACCAGATGTATATTGTCATTTAGGCTCTCTACATTCCTACCAATAGAAAAGAGACTACTACATCTATTTCTTAGTAATTCAATAAAAGGAGATAATATTAAATACGAAACCCTCTAAGTAACTTAAAGGAAAGTTATGTCTAACAGTATCTAGTCTGCTCTTAATTATCCACAATGGTAGAAGAGAGATGTAATAAGAATATTTTGAAAGTTTCAGTACAAAAAAATGCTTATTTTTATAATGGGTTTATCTTTGAGATTATGCTAAGTTCTGAACAATAATATATACTTGTATTATCAAATCACTCATTAGGTGGTAATTGGGGGAAAAAGAGAAACATGACGGGAAAAACATTAAAAACATATGGTGGCCCTAGCCAGTTTGGCTCAGTGGAGAGAGCATAGGCCTGCAGACTGAAGAGTTCCAGGTTTGATTCCAGTCGGGGTGCATGCGGGAGGCAACCAATTGATGTGTCTCTCTCACATCAATGTTTCTCTCTCTCTCTCCTCCTCCTCCCTTCCACTCTCTCTAAAAATCAATGGAAAAATATCCTTGGGTGAGGATTAACAAAAAACAAACAAACAAAAACATACAGTAGCCTTAAAAATAATTTATATAATAATCAAAAGCAGTTATTATTCTTGTTAGCGGACCTAATTCCATTATTGGGTACTGAAAACTGCTGTTATATAGTATGACTGGAAATCGTTGCACTTTGACAAAATGTTATCTTTCCTTTTTCAAAAGAAAGAATTAAGAAAGCTCCAAATCTTTTATTGAAAATAAAAACTTTAAGTAGTAAATCTTGGGAAACCAATATATTCAAAATTAATGCCAACATTTAAAAAATTTCCTTTAAAGAGTCCTGGCGAAAGCATTTAGTGTATTAATAAAGATCCAAATTGAAAGTTTTCTGAAGAAGATAATGTAAAATAACTTTATCTTGGGTTAATAGCTTAAGGTACTAGAGTGTTCAACACTATGAACAAACAAAAAAACAAACTCAGTAAGGGGTGTAGGGGTAAAATGAAGAGGGTAATAAAGGTGACATGGTGACAGAAGGAGACTAGACTTTGGGTGGTGTGCACACAATAGAGTATACAAATGTATTATAAAGCTATACACATGAAATTTGTATGATGTTATTAACCAATGTTACCCCAATAAGTTTAATCTAAAAAAATTTAAGAAGTTATTACAGTATTCAAGAATGTACTGCCAAGAAATGTGCCTAATAAAGGACATCACCTCCAAGTCTTATTGTAATACTAGTAGCCCAGTACATGAAATTTGTGCACATTGAAAGGGAATTAATTAGAGGAATGTAATTTGGACTATCTAATATTAATAATATGTGAGCGTGAGGCAGTCCGCGTTTCAGAAATTCAATGACGTGAATTTTAGCTATTACTTTGCCAAATAAATGGAATTTACAGATGTCATTTAAAAGAGCATTCAGCTTCATATTAAAAACTTTGGCTACCAAGTCAGGTCTGTTTTCAACTTTTTGCCAGCATTGTAAATTGTTTGCAATATCTGCCCATTTGGGGTTGTCATGTCATGGTTATGAATAAATCGGGCTTGCCATACCTCGTTATAATTGCCATAGCGTCCTGATATCGCTGCTGCATATTTCTGGGACTACCCTCAGAAGATGATGGAAGTATTATCATTTTACCAATCGGCACATTGTCCTTTTCAAATCTAGATTTGAGAAAATCCATCAAACCACCGTATTTTTCAACTCTCAACTTAGATTGGTTTGCTTTGATGAAATTTATCTGATTGGCCTCCATTTTTGAATACGAATCCATGATAAACTGTTGAGTTAATTTTCCTGCATTTAAAATAGGATTGAACGTGTCCTGCACAGAGAGATGAAATCCATAATACTGCATTTGTGTGACTCGTGTCCTTACATTTTGTCTAGTATTATTGTCGATGACACTGTTGTCTCTGAGTCTTAATGCAATATCTGTTCCCCAGGCTTGTTTACCATGTGGAAAAAGGATAAGATATGTCATTGCATCTAATGTAGGAAACAGGATATTTATTTGTTTCATTTTAGTGGCATTTGGGTTATTGGGATCTAGTTTACAATGAATGAGCAAGTCCCTTTTTCAAAAGGAGGTTCTCCACCTTCATTTCTGAATATGACAGCAAACTCAGTTACACGGAGAGAATTATATCTACCTGGGTCACTGTTGCCATCGTATTTAATTGCCATTGTTACCTCTGTGGGAGCAATACCTTTTGCTGCTGCTTCAGATTGGGCTTCCTTTTCTACCTCATGTAGCATCTTGTACGATTTTGTTAATTCATTTATTTCATGGATGAGGTTGTTGATGTTGATCATGAGTCTTTCTGAGAAGCCTGGTTTTCTGGCATTGCTAATCTTTTACTTGTAGCTTTGGCTGTATCCAAAATATAGAGTTGAGCAAACTTCTGAGAAACACCATCCGAAGGATGTAAAGTTCCAGTACGGTGATAAACTTGCCCGTGTATTCTAAAACAGTATGGCCCATATCCTGATGGCGATGCAATATTTGCACCCATGGAAGCAAAAGCAAAGGAACTATTTATGGGACGGATATTTTCCATGATATTTTTACTGTCAGAATAGTTTGTCATTAATCTTTTTAAATATGCCGGGTAATCTGAAAAATATCATTTGGACAGACTTTCCCTTTGCTACAACATCGAGTAAATTTCCCATCAGATGGTTTTTCATCTGAGAAACTGAGTGATAGGCAAAATTCACATCAAACAGTCATTCCACCACAACTATGTTCGAGGATTGCATCTTCATGTACTCCATTTTTGCTGAGAAGACAGTTCCTACAGGTATTTGTAGTACTTGTTGATGACTGTTCTCTCAACATATTCTGTCATCGCCACCGCCTTCTTTCAACTTCAAAGGCACGTTGGTCTGTAGACATTTTCCGTCGATAACACTGATGTTTTTCGGCATCAGAGCAACGTTTTTCCAGTAGCTGTTCAGATACATCCTGCTGCAGGCACCGCCTTCTTTCAAGATCAGACGCATGCTGCTCTGCAGACACTTTCTGTCGATAACGCCAGCATCTTTTGGCTGCAGACCTACGTTGTATCAACTGTTGTTCTTAGACATAGTCCGACCTCTCTACTGTCAAGGTCTGAGATGCAGGTGAATGAGAGTCCTGGCTATCAGGCCGCTGAGAGCTGTCTGACCAATGGCTGATTCTGTGGGGGTGGGACTTCCTCCTCCTTGTTGTCAGTTTCCACAGCTGTGATGAGGAAGCTGGGGTGACAGAGGGAGCCGCGCCCTCCAAGCCGCCCTCTCGCTCTGCTCTATGTCCAGCAGTCTCCTGCTCTGCTAAGTCCCCCAAACCTCCCGCTCTCTGCTGGCAAGGTCCTGGGAGTCCGCGGGCGTGGCTAGGCACGGGTGGCCGTACCTCCCTGACCAGCGAAAGTCCTGGGAGCCTGCGGGCATCGCTATGGCCTTGCCTCCTGGGGCCAGCGAAAGTCTTAGGAGCCCCTCCTGGGGCTCTTGACACCTGTGTATGCAAATTAACCGCCATCTTTGTCGGATAATTTGCATAGTCACTCGGATTGGCTGGTGGGCATGGCTTCAGCATAGTGGCGGGACAGCTAATTTGCATGTTTCTTTTATTATATAGGATATAGATGAATTTTAAGAAATTAACCTGGATTTTAATTTGCTCTGATTAATTATAAAGGTCATGATTTGTTATTTTCCTAATTCCTAGTTAAAAAATATAGGGCTAAACAAATGAAAAACATATTAACAGCGAGACTCATTCAAAGATGAAAAAAGCTATTTCTGGAGGCCTCTAGAACAGAACTGTTCAAGCATAATTTGGATGACTGTCAGAGAGAAGGGAAGTGTCAAGCTTTAAGTAGAACACTGTCTATTAAGGTTCCTTTCGACCTTAAGATTCTATCATTTTGACAAAACACAGACAATCTAAAACCAAACAAAAACAAAACCTGCTCAAAAGTAGCTCATCAGCTTTCAAAATATAAATTCTTCATGGTGACTAAACACATAAATGCTTCCCCCAATAACCTTACAGAGTTGGTAAACGTTTAGTTATAACTTAAATTGTCAGAAGTATGGTGCCCATCATCTCAGTTGGAAAAACAAAAACAAAAAACCCCCACAAAACATCTTTTTACCTTATTAAAGTAGTCCAGCAGGAGCGGCCATCTAAGCAACGCAAGTAACAACTTATGGTTGTTTTCTTAAACTGTTTAATATCTTCTAATTCTTCATCTCTCATATCTGGCCTCTGAGCTATAAACAGCTGCATCAGGTTAAATAGTTCTTCCACTGCCTAAAAAGGGCAAATAAACATCATGGTGATCTTTTAACCCTACAATGTTTTAGAATGTATGCTTCTCATTCTAGATGTTATACTCATTAGCCAGCCCTTACAATTACACAAATGAGTTCAGTTACAGTAACATTCAAGAATGGTTATAAAATTAGCAATGAATTCTATTTTTAAAATTTCATATATAATTCATTTAGTGCAAATCTCAAAATATAATTTTAGGAAGATTAAAAACTGCAAGTTAAGATAGTTCATTTTTAGTCTTAATACTGTTTCAAGACCAGGTTTTGTAACTTCAAATGTGCATTCAGAGACCTGCTACAACAAACCTTTACCACCTTTTCTTTAGTAAGTGAGAAATTATCACTTTGTCACAAGAATTTTACATCCCTCAATTAAGACCATTTCTAAGAAAACCCTTTGGTGCCAACATTTGGAATGATCTTTCTTGACTGATGGATGCTCAGTTCAAGTTACCTGGCAAAAATTGATTTAAGCACCATTTTCATTAAAGTCTTTAATAGATAAGTTCTACAATAAAAACCGTTATATTTCACTGATGTCAAGGGCAAAAAAACATTAGGGGATAGTCTCATGCAGCACTCTTCAGAGGTATATTTAACTATGGACATGTTAAGTAATGAAATCAAGTATTACTTATATGAATGTGATAGAAAAAAATGGATTCACTCTTATAAATCTTATCCTAACTCCTAAGTCAGGCAGACTCTCTCATTCTTTTCCTTATGTATTCTTATTGCCTTGGTTTTGAAAGTGTTTTTCTTTTTTTGTACTGAATACAATCACTTTATTATAGGCATTCTAACTTTCTTCACTGGAAATTAGGTTCTTTCAAGGTGAGAAATTATAAACAATTCACTACATTATGTCTAAAGAACTGTTACGGTCCTTTTTTTCAACAGGAAAAAAGTATAGTACATAACTCAAGGATACCAATCCTTAAAATACCCTTCACTGTATTTTTTGATTAACTCTTAAATGTTGAATGTCTTGAAAAATGTCTACTCTCCACTCCCACCATTTCCTATTTAGCAAACAACTTCTCATATTAGCAATTTATGGCCTCTGAGTTCACAATAGCCTTAAAAAGGTTTCTGCACTCCCCTTCCAAACACCTTCCCAGACTTATACCCTCTTGGTATAATTTCAATTGACAACAGAGAATAAGAGATGACAATGAAAAGAAATATCCAGGAATGACAGCCTTATATAGGGATGGGGGGGGGAGGGGCGGGTAGATGTAATATCAAACCTACAAATAGTCTGCAGAGAAAAAAAAATCCTATTTACACTGAATATATTTGTATTCTGATAGAACATTTAACCATTTCATTCACTTCAATGTAGTATGAGAAAAAAATACTAGGGAATACTACAGCAAAGATAAAAATATTATTTAGCTCACAACTTAGCTTAGCATATAGACCTTGATAATAAATATCAAAATAAAAATATTCACTTCATTAAAACTGTACCATAAAGCTAACTTTTTTTCATTAGGTACATATGAAAGATACATTTACAAAACCATAAATTAAAATAGGTAAATTCCATTAGAGAAAATTTCATTATCAACCTACGAAAAACTACCCATACACTTATAAATTTTATAACCATACAGCATTTTATGTTTTCAAGAAAACAAATATATGTTAAGTCCTTAAGAAAGAATAAAGTTAGACCATACTCCCATATTTTCTCACCATGTCCCAACAGGGGAAAAACAGGTATTTCCAATCAATTTGAGGATACAGATATAAGTTATCAATTTTACTCACTCCAGGGTATTGGCTGGCATGGGGTGTGAGATTCTTAAAGGCCCACTGGATGTTCTGGTGAGAAGCCAGTTGTCGTGTAAATGTAGGAGACTGCTCACAGCAGAGCCTCAGAATGCCATAGTAGGCAGGCAGCATCCCACGGTTAAAGAGCACCACATCCTGATCATCATGGTCAGCAAGGATGTAATTGAAGGCAATGTTCTTGGTTACCACTGGGTTCTGAACAATAAGGCGGATATTCTCTGGACAGTCAGCACACACATTGTACCAAAATGAAAGCAAAGCCTGTTTATTGTGATTTGTAGCTATTGCTGGCTCAGAAAGTTTAGGCTGGAAAAGGTTCCACAAATCCATGAAATATGTGGAAAACATCAGCTTCTCAGTTTTGGAAATTAAACAGTAAGTCATAAAGCTAAAATAGGGCACTAGCTTTGTAGTGCCATGAACAGCAGCATCAACATAAAGTTTGGCTCTTGACAGCAAACCAAGGAGCACGTTGTAGACCTGATGTAGGACTACTGTTGTGTCTGGACTGAGTGGAAGGTCACGGGTTGGGATGTGCAAAGACCTTGTTGACCGGAACATCTGGCGGAATGAATTGCTTGGTATAAGGGACACCAGAAGATAAGCTGCAGCTATAAATGTAAAAAAAAAAACCTGTCAGATAGGTCCTTACAAGATATAAAAAATAAACTAAAGAGTAGTCATTAAACACAAAGCCACTCTTCCCTTTAAAAATTAAAGTGAATAAAATTTAAGGGACATGGACATCTCTTTTAATATCTTTCTGCTCTATCATTAGTCCCAGAGAAAGATCCCAAGGAATGATGTAGACTGATATCTTCCATTCTGTCACTGTTCTTTTTTAAGTAGAGACAATAATCACATTAGCAAAAATAGCTTTAAACTGCTTTCGTTTAGCTTTCCCAAGATGTAGAGTTTTCCCAGTTATTTTATCATTTCATTTCTTCTCAGGAAACAATATGGTTTAATAGAACACAATATTTAGAACCAGAAGACCTATATAAGGCTGATAAACATGGTCAAATCATTTAATGTTTTAGGGTCTTAGTTTTATTCTTTACAAAGCAATAGTAAATTCTTTTGTAATAATTTATAGGTAAAGGTAAAATTTACTTACATTATAAAGACAGAATGAGATCTATTTAAAAGTCCTTTGTAATACATAAGATCATATATATGCCAATTTTAGAACATTAACTTTGAAAATTTTATTTAAAAGTCTTCTAGGCTAATCTTGCACACAAAGAATCTCTCCTTCAACATACCTGAAAAATCTTAAGTCTATGCTATAATTCTGAGAGGTTAATGACTCATTAGTTGAGTCCATATATAAAAGCAGTTACTATGCGCAAGGAAATGAGCTACGTACTTTATAAATATTATCTCATTTAATCCTCACAACCACCTTGGAGGTAGGTACATTTGAAAGACATATGGCATTGGAAACTCTGAATCTTGGAAAAGCAAAGACCAAGGCCACACAGATAAAGAGGAGAAGCCCATAATCAGCCTTGGGAAACAATGATTATGATAATGGTAAAACAATAACAAGAATTGCTAACATTTATTGAATGTTTACTATTTAACATCATAACTTTATATAGCAGGCACTACTTTTGTTATCCCTACTTTCACTGAGACTTAAAATAGTAAGACTACCCCTTATAACACAGATAGGTGGCACAACTGGAATTCAAACCCAGGTCAGTCTCATGAGCTCCTAACAGTCACTACAGAGCCTCCTCAAGGCTTCTAATGACTTAGTTTAACTCTACTTTTAATACACCTACTAAATTCTGTCTCCCACTATTTTATCAATAATTTGATAATTTCCATTGTACTGTCAAAGCAAAAAAAGTCAGTATATCTAAAATTAATTGTAATCTAGTTTATAGATTATAAATTAAAATTTATTTCTGCACAATACTCCATTTCTATGTATTTTTTCACTGATATCAGTAGTCTATTATCAGTATGGCTCAATTTGATATGTGCATCAAATATAAAAAGTTGGCATATAAGTATCATTCTGATAAATTTTTGTATAAAACTGCAACTAAGAAAAGTCATGATTAAAAAAAAAAACACCTTAAGTCAGTTGAACTTAGAGCAAATCTACTTCCATTTCTATATGGCAACTACTTTAAGGCACCTATCGTGTCTCAATTTTTCTTCCTTAAACTAAACATTCTCAGTCATTCCTTAAAGTTATTTTGTAAGATTTAAAAGTAGTTCTCTATAATCTTTCTTTTATACATGTTACACTAATTCTTATTCTAAGTTATCTTCATTCTATTCAAATACTTGGGCCCTTTTTTCAAGTTATATAAAAAATGCTTTTTGATATTACTACAATCTCCACCACAATACTTAAAAAAAAAAAAATTGATGCATTATAACAATTTATTTCCTAACTGAACATCCAGCTTTAAATTTTTCACAACTCTAGTTTAACAGATATTAGAAGAACAACAGAGAGAACCAAGATGGAGGCACAGGTTAACGCCGGAGTTTGCTGCCTTGAACAACTACTTCAAAAGTGAAACTAAAAGACGGAACGGACATCACCCAGAACCACAGGAACGCTGGCTGAGTGGAAGTCCTACAACTAGGAGGAAAGAGAAACGCATACGGACACTCAGAGGAGGCGCAGTGCTGAAGTCAAATTCTGAGGTGCGGAGTGCGTGGAGCGGGCTGGCAGCAGAGGGCGCGGTTGGCGTTTTCAATCGGGAGGGAGTCGCAGACTCTGAGCTCCAGATACGGGCAAGTCTAGGGACCCAGACTCAAACGGGAGAAGCGGGACTGTCTGGCTTCGGTCAGAGCGAGTGCAGCTTTCTCTCCGAGCTTTGCAGCGGGTGCTGGGACTCAAAGAGGCAGAGCCCCTGGGGACAGGACTGAGAGCTGCCATAACTGCTCTCTCCGGCCCACCCTGTTGATCCTATGCGACCCGCCCTGCCCAAGCCCTGCACAGAGGCATTTGCCGGATAGCCTCAGGCAAAGGCTAGATTAGCACCTCCCTAGAGGACAGAAGTTCTCTCACTGCTGACACAGCTGATTCTCACAGCCACTTGGCCTGGAGGTCAAACCCTCCCTGGTATTAGCTACAACAATCAAGGTTTAACTATAAGACTGCGAACAAAGACCACTAGGGGGTGCACCAAGGAAGCATAACAAAATGTGGAGACAAAGAAACAGGACAAAATTGTCAATGGAAGATATAGAGTTCAGAACCACACTTTTAAGGTCTCTCAAGAACTGTTTAGAAGCCGCCGAAAAACTTAATGAGATCTACAAGAAAACTAATGAGACCCTCGATATTATGTTGGGGAACCAACTAGAAATTAAGCATACACGGACTGAAATAACGAATATTATACAGACTCCCGACAGCAGACCAGAGGAGCGCAAGAATCAAGTCAATGATTTGAAATGCGAGGAAGCAAAAAACACCCAACCGGAAAAGCAAAATGAAAAAAGAATCCAAAAATGCGAGGATAGTGTAAGGAGCCTCTGGGACAGCTTCAAGAGTACCAACATCAGAATTATAGGGGTGCCAGAAGATGAGAGAAAGCAAGATATTGAAAACCTATTTGAAGAAATAATGACAGAAAACTTCCCACACCTGGTGAAAGAAATAGACTTACAGGTCCGAGAAGCGCAGAGAACCCCAAACAAAAGGAATCCAAAGAGGACCACACCAAGACACATCATAATTAAAATGCCAAGAGCAAAAGATAAAGAGAGAATCTTAAAAACAGCAAGAGAAAGAAACTCAGTTACCTACAAGGGAGTACCCATACGACTGTCAGCTGATTTCTCAACAGAAACTTTGCAGGCCAGAAGGGAGTGGCAAGAAATATTCAAAGTGATGAATACCAAGAACCTACAACCAAGATTACTTTATCCAGCAAAGCTATCATTCAGAATTGAAGGTCAGATAAAGAGCTTCACAGATAAGGAAAAGCTAAAGGAGTTCATCACCACCAAACCAGGATTATATGAAATGCTGAAAGGTATCCTTTAAGAAGAGGAAGAAGAAGAAAAAGGTAAAGATACAAATTATGAACAACAAACATTCATCTATCAACAAGTGAATCTAAGAATCAAGTGAATAAGTAATCTGATGAACAGAATGAACTGGTGATTATAATAGAATCAGGGACATAGAAAGGGAATGGACTGACTATTCTTGGGGGGGAAAGGGTGTGGGAGATTCGGGAAGAGACTGGACAAAAATCGTGCACCTATGGATGAGGACAGTGGGTGAGGAGTGAGGGCGGAGGGTGGGGCGGGAACTGGGAGGAGGGGAGTTATGGGGGGAAAAAAGAGGAACAAATGTAATAATCTGAACAATAAAGATTTAATTAAAAAAAAAACACACAAAAGAATAAAAAAATAAAAAACAAAAAAACAAAAAAAAAAATAAATAATTTTTTCACAACTATAAATAATGTGGTTGGATATCCATATATTAGATGACTTACTTATACTGGAATCCTGAAATGATATTACTGAGTTAAAAAGGAAAAAGATTTTAAGGATCTCATCACATACTGCTAAGTTGCCTTTAAGGGCAATATTAACTTAGAATGAAACTGCAATGCATGAGAATGCCATTTCCTAAGCACTGTCATGAATATTAGGTGTAATGGCTAGCCAAAAATCTTTTTGGGGCAGTAGAGGGACACGAATGCCAACCGGCATATGTGTCAGCTCTTACAAATATCCCATTACTGTGGGGTTACCTAAATTGGCAAGAAAAGCAAGCCTATAAGCAGAGAACCAATGACAATCCATGTCTACCCATGATGAAAGGTGTTTTTCCCAAATATTTTATTTTAGAATAGGTAGAACAGACAATCTCCATACACCGCCTCCCCATTTCCTCTATTGTTAATAGCCATTATTACTAAGGAACACTTGTCGTGACTAAAGGAACCAACACTGGCACATAACTGTCACACTTTAGATTTCAATAGTTTTGCCCTAATGTTCTTTTATTCTGGTTCTAGGATACAGTACATTTAATTATCATGTCTTCTTAAGCAACTTTTGGCTGTGACAGTTTCTGTGACTTCCCGTGCATTTGGTGACATTGCTAGTTTTGAGGTCAGGTGGGTTTTTTTAACCTATTGTACACCATAAGCATCTGTAGATGCAAGTGGCAGACCTTCCCCACACACCATGTACATCTAAAAAAAAATGTTTTCCCTAAGTGGCAGCCCCTGACCAACTTGAAAATCGTTTTTCGTGAGAATTTTCAGCTGAAAATATTGAACACCCGAATTATGAGTAATATATTTATTTTTATAATATTCATTACAAATTGACTTTTTAAAATTAAATTCAAAATATCGTGGCATGTGGGGATGGTTTCCATTTTGGATGTGTGGCAGTTAACTGGTTAAAAAACATTTTTATTGATTTCAGAGAGAGGAGGGAGAGGGAGAGAGGGATAGAAACATCAATGATGAGAATCACTGATTGGCTGTCTCCTGCATGACCCCTACTGGGGATCAAGCCAGTGACCTCCTGGTTCATGGGTCAACATTCAACCACTGAGCCATGCTGGCTGTGTGTGAGGTCAGATATTTTTGTAGAACAACCCTGAAATTGGGTTTATCTGATGTTTATCATATTTAGACTCAGGTTATTGGTTTTTGGGAAGAAGACCACACTGTGCCACACACACAGGTACAGTAACCATTGCATTACATTATATCAAGGGTACATGCTATAATAAAAATGTAACTCTTCAGTGATGATGTTAACCTTAATCATATGGCTGAGTTAATATTTGTCAAGTTTCATTACTTCATTATTTCCTCCATCCCCCAAACTCTACTTTTTGAAAACAAGGCACTTAAGCTCACACAAAAGGAGTGGGGAGATATACTCCACCTCCTTGGGGACATAAATTATCTGAAATTCTGGTTGGGAGATCTGTCTCTTCTCCATTTATCCATTTATTCATTCAATTAGTCATTTATTTTAATCAGTATGGACTCATGAATATTTATTTTATACTTTGGGTCACAATCTAGCGCTATGTATTATTTACTTTTTTTACTCAAATTGTTCCAGCTTTGGTCATTGGCAGCTCTTTCCGGTTGGTTCTACAGTGGGGCCTTGACTTACGAGTTTAATTCGTTCCGTGACAGAGCTCATAACTCAAATTACTCGGATGTCAAATCAACAGTGAACGAGTGAGACACGTGATGCTGGGCTGATGTTGTGGCGTTCACTGTGACATTCGCTGCACCACCTAGCGGTGGGGTGTCTGAAGCTGGCTCATAACTCGCAACTCAAAGCCAAAAATCACCTGAGAGACGGCTCGTATCTCGAAAAACTCATTAGTCGGGACACTCGTAAGTCAAGGCTCCACTGTATGTCCGTTTGATATATCCCCATCAATTTGGCTTTTGAGTACTTCTTTACTTTCTGGATCTATAAGATGATGCAGATTCATTTTGTATGTTCCCAGACACAGTCCTAGAATCAGCCATTTCTTCAAGGAACTGTGATTCCTTTCATTTAAGAATGAAAAGGAGATCTGGGTATTCGATGTGCTTGTTGCTATTGGAGTGACATTGATTCCAGGCCCTTTCAGGAGACAGCTAACAAATGATTTTAATGATTGAAAAAATTTTAACTATTAACTACTTTAATTTTTATTTCTTTGAATACTACCATGAGAACATAATATAAGTTTATTTACCAACAATTTTCTATTCTGTGAAACATCTATATTTTGTATTTGTCCTTCTGTCTTCCAAGATCTTTGTTTATTCTCCTCCAGCATGTGTATAAGAAAGATGTTTATCTGCCAAACCGGTTTGGCTCAGTGGATAGAGCATTGGCCTGCAGACTCAAGGGTCCCAGGTTTGATTCTGGTCAAGAGCATGTACCTTGATTGCGGGCACATCCCCAGTAGGGGGCGTGCAGGAGGCAGCTGATCGATTTCCCTCATCAATGTTTCTAGCTCTCTGTCCCTCTCCCTTCTTCTCTGTGAAAAATCAATAAAGTATTTTTTAAAAGGTAAAAAAAAAAAAAAGATGTTTATCATTTAATGCCCATAATTTCAGTGAATATTTTCCCTCAGTTTGTTTTATGTCTTTATTATTACTTTATTTTTAGCCTTCATTTTCATTTTTATTTATTATTTATAATTTATTTTTAGAGAGAGAAGAGAGAGGGGAAAACAGAGAAACATCGATGTGAGAGAAATACATTGACTGGTTGCCTCCTACACGGGCCGGGGAGGAGCCTACAACAGAGGTACTGAACCTGGGACCCTTCAGTTCATAGGCCAACACTCTATCCACTGAGTCAAACCGGATAGGGCTATTTTTAGCCTTCTTAAATTGCTTTTAAGATAGAATTAGAGAGGAACCAAGATGGTGGCATAGGTTAACGCCGGAGTTTGCTGCCTTGAACAACTACTTCAAAAGTGAAACTAAAAGACGGAACGGACATCACCCAGAACCACAGGAACGCTGGCTGAGTGGAAGTCCTACAACTAGGAGGAAAGAGAAACGCATACGAACACTCAGAGGAGGCGCAGTGCTGAAGTCAAATTCTGAGGTGCGGAGTGCGTGGAGCGGGCTGGCGGCGGAGGGCGCGGTTGGCGTTTTCAATCGGGAGGGAGTCGCAGACTCTGAGCTCCAGATATAGGCGAGTCTTTAGGGACCCAGACTCAAACGGGAGAAGCGGGACTGTCTGGCTTCGGTCAGAGCGAGTGCAGCTTTCTCTCCGAGCTTTGCAGCGGGTGCTGGGACTCAAAGAGGCAGAGCCCCTGGGGACAGGACTGAGAGCTGCCATAACTGCTCTCTCCGGCCCACCCTGTTGATCCTGTGCGACCCGCCCTGCCCAAGCCCTGCACAGAGGCATTTGCCGGATAGCCTCAGGCAAAGGCTAGATTAGCACCTCCCTAGAGGACAGAAGTTCTCTCACTGCTGACACAGCTGATTCTCACAGCCACTTGGCCTGGAGGTCAAACCCTCCCTGGTATTAGCTACAACAATCAAGGTTTAACTATAAGACTGCGAACAAAGACCACTAGGGGGTGCACCAAGGAAGCATAACAAAATGTGGAGACAAAGAAACAGGACAAAATTGTCAATGGAAGATATAGAGATCAGAACCACACTTTTAAGGTCTCTCAAGAACTGTTTAGAAGCCGCCGATAAACTTAATGAGATCTATAAGAAAACTAATGAGATCCTCGATGTTATATTGGGGAACCAACTAGAAATTAAGCATACACGGACTGAAATAACGAATATTATACAGACTCCCGACAGCAGACCAGAGGAGCGCAAGAATCAAGTCAATGATTTGAAATGCGAGGAAGCAAAAAACACCCAACCGGAAAAGCAAAATGAAAAAAGAATCCAAAAATGCGAGGATAGTGTAAGGAGCCTCTGGGACAGCTTCAAGAGTACCAACATCAGAATTATAGGGGTGCCAGAAGATGAGAGAAAGCAAGATATTGAAAACCTATTTGAAGAAATAATGACAGAAAACTTCCCACACCTGGTGAAAGAAATGGACTTACAGGTCCAAGAAGCGCAGAGAACCCCAAACAAAAGGAATCCAAAGAGGACCACACCAAGACACATCATAATTAAAATGCCAAGAGCAAAAGATAAAGAGAGAATCTTAAAAACAGCAAGAGAAAGAAACTCAGTTACCTACAAGGGAATATCCTTACAACTGTCAGCTGATTTCTCAACAGAAACTTTGCAGGCCAGAAGGGAGTGGCAAGAAATATTCAAAGTGATGAATACCAAGAACCTACAACCAAGATTACTTTATCCAGCAAAGCTATCATTCAGAATTGAAGGTCAGATAAAGAGCTTCACAGATAAGGAAAAGCTAAAGGAGTTCATCACCACCAAACCAGGATTATATGAAATGCTGAAAGGTATCCTTTAAGAAGAGGAAGAGGAAGAAAAAGGTAAAGATACAAATTATGAACAACAAATATGCATCTATCAACAAGTGAATCTAAGAATCAAGTGAATAAATAATCCGATGAACAGAATGAACTGGTGATTATAATAGAATCAGGGACATAGAAAGGGAATGGACTGACTATTCTTGGGGGGGAAAGGGGTGTGGGAGATGCGGGAAGAGACTGGACAAAAATCATGCACCTATGGATGAGGACAGTGGGTGGGGAGTGAGGGCGGAGGGTGGGGCGGGAACTGGGAGGAGGGGAGTTATGGGGGGGAAAAAAGAGGAACAAATGTAATAATCTGAACAATAAAGATTTAATTAAAAAAATAAATAAATAAAATTGAAAAAAAAAAAAAAGTACAAAAAAAAAAAAAAAGAATTATGACCCTTTATTTACTAATGCTAATCATGCTTTGTCACTCTATCAAGCAAGGAAACAAAAATGGCTTATGGTGATGTCACCTAAGAAAGAACATACTTTTCTATCCTTAAAAAACCAAAACCACTATATAGATATTTGTAAAACATTGGTACAGGTTTCCAAATATTAATATAACTTCGGCTTTTTAAAAAAAATAATACCTTTAAGAGCATTTGAATTATACAACAATGGGCATATTGTAGTCACCTTACAACAAAACAAAGAAAGAAAACTTGAACAACAAATGGTTTGTTAAATTCTGAATATTTGACTTACAAGTCCTGACTCTAGGGTAATTGTGAGCCAAAAGAAACCTCTCGACCCAGTTTTCCATATTCTGTAGGACCCAGCTGTGTGCCAGTTTATTTCGGGGTGTCTGCACTGCCAACCAATCCAGACACTGAGAGGGATTATATTCAATTACCTAGAAATAAAACAGACAAGAACAGAATATAAAGCCAACTGAATGAGCAGTAACTTTTTAACTTACTTTTGGTATATGCCATTATACACTTAACCAAAATAGTTTTATGAAAACTAGATCCTAAAAAAAGTTTCAACCATGTGTTTTCCCATTTTTAAAGCTACTTTACTCTTATCAACAGAAAATGTTCAGAAACATTTGTCTTTAGATTACAAAATAAAATTAAAATAACCAAGGACTCTAAAATAAGACCAATAAGAGAAACCAATGACACATTAACCAAGGATTCTAACATGAGACCAATAAGAAAAGCCAATCATTTTTAGGTCTTTAGTTTGCAAATTAACTTAAAAGTGCTTTTAATTCTTTAAAGTTTCTCATCTTTACTTTTCTTATTGTTTGCCCAATCTGTTTCTATACATGAGAATGAAAACCAGCTCACTGCACCACTGAGGAGTTTTTTGTTCGTTTTTTTCAAGGGGAAATAGAATTTTAGGGATCTAGAGTAGGGGTTGGAAAACTATGACTCCTGGGCCAAATTCTGTAGTTTGCCTGTTTGCTAAGTATTTTTTTTTTAACTTTTTTTTTTAATGGGAACTTTTTTTTTATTATTATTTTTTGATTTCAGAGAGGAAGGGAGAGGGAGAGATAAAAACATCAATAATGAGAGAAAATCATTGATCAGCTGCCTCCTGCACGCCCCCTACTGGGGATCCAGCCCACAACCTGGGCATGTGCCCTTGACCAGAATCGAACCCAGGACCTTTCAGTCCGCAGGCTGATGCTCTATCCACTGAACCAAACCAGCTAGGGCTATTTGCTAAGTATTTATGGGAACACAGCCATACCCTCATTTATTTATTTTTCATGGCTGTTTTTTTTTAGAAATACTTAAAAAAAATTTTTTTTTATTGATTTCAGAGAGGAAGGGAGATGGAGAGAAACATGGATGCAAGAACTAAACATCTATCAGCTGCCTCCTGTATGCCCCCTACCAGGATCGAGCCTGCAACCCGGAATCAAACTGGTAACCTTCTGGTGCATGGGATGACGCCCAACCAACTGAGCCATACCGTGTTTGTTTGAGACTAGGGAAATGAGAACCGTGGACTGGCTGAAGGCTGTTCTCTTTAAACATCTGGGAGACAAGCCCAAAACTCTTTTCCCCCATACTTTCTGACTAAAGTGTCTCTCTTCTTTCCTCAACCTAGGACTTACTAAACCCATTTTGGAATTCTAAGTAAGAAGAAACTGGTACTTAACATGTTAGTGACTGTATTCAACAAATAAAATCTTCAGAAAAATAAATACTGAGACATTTGCTCTAAGATTTACCTCCCATATCCTCTGCAGAATGTAAGATGCAAAGGGAGGCATTCCTGGTGGTCCACCAGCAAATTCCATTAGCATAGTCAATAATTTAAAGAAAGGATTAGCTGCCTGTAAGAGACATACAAGACTGTATTTATATCTATTTGAAACCATCTCTATCAGCAAAAAATAAACACATATAACTCTTGTATACATCACATTTAAATATGCTGCATTATATTTGCAGAGCAGAGTACTCCTGCATATGAATTTGAACTATCATAAAAATCAGCTGGGAATACAAAGTCAGTTGCATGGGAGCCACATGTAACAGAAAACATGTTTTTACTGGATGTTAATTTGGAGAAAAAAAAATCAAAACTCTTGTTAAATGAGACAACCATGTTTGTAGAGTAATTTAGATTAAAAGTTTGTTGCAGCAAATTTTGACCTGATATAATTTGTATTAATATTTAACATGTATTATCAAAGTAGCTGTGACATTTCCATTTTACAAAGATAGTTTTGTACAATACTGTATTCAATTTTTTTTATATACTTCCCACCTATCCAGTCACCTGATTAGTATATATTTTTTTCTTGGGCCCAATTATATGCTTAAAGCCAAACAACATTCAAGCTTAGGCAGGCCACTGATATGTTGAACTTATATGTAAAATTTATATTTAATTGAGAAAATTACATTTGTGATAAGACATAAAGAACTAACTCCATTTATTCAAGTTATATACTTAAAAATAGGTTTATTATGGGGAAATGAATAATTTTTTTTTCAAGGACAATTACAATGGTTCATTTGAAAGCACTGTCAATACTGGTAGAAGTTTTAAAAACATGATTTAATAAATTTCTACATACCTCAGGAGTCAGTTTTGCTATTGATGTGAAAAGCATAGATACAATCTAAAACAGAAAAAGGAAAATTTCAGAATATTCTTTTAAAAATTATCAAAAAACTTTTATACTTTAAAGTTAAAACTTTAAGTTTTCTTAGCACTTACATGTTCTGCAAGTCGATTATTGTATCGACACAGGCTGAAAATCAGATTACAAGTTTGTCTTATATTGATGCCATCACGAATATGTTGAAACAAGAAGGGAAATCCCTGTTAAAAACAAAAGGTGTTCATTTAGGAACTGTTATTATTATTTTTGTGATTATCAAATGGTCTAACATAGAGTAGGTAATACCTTTCCTCCTGTTAATGCTGCCATGTCAGTCTGTGATAATGTCAAATGCCTAAAAGAAAACATTAGTAGAAATAAGTTTTTCTTCCCTCTGTACTACTTTATAGCTATCTGCATCATGACACACATCAAAATTGTCAATCCAATTATAATCATACCAACCAACCATCATAAAATGATTCTGAACTATCTGCTAGCTAGACTTTTTTGCTAGACATATTTTGTTATTATTTTTTTATTTACATATATTTTTATTGATTTCAGAGAGGAAGGGAGAGGGAGAGAGATATACAGACATCAATGATGAGAGAGATTCATTGATTGGCTGCCTCCTGCACGCCCCCCCACTGGGTATTGAGCATAACCAGGGCATGTGCCCTTGGCTGGAATCGAACCCAGGACCCTTAAGTCCAAAGGCTGATTCTCTATCCACTGAGTCAAACCAACTAGGGTTGCTAGACATATTTTAGACAATTTTTCAAGAATCCAAAATTGGTATAATACAGCTCAAATCTAATTTATTTCCATTTAATTAATATTTTGTGACACTTAGAGAGCTTTTCCTGAAATGAGAACCTTAAAAACAAAACGAACTTATAAGAAATACTTGAAAGTTTCATTCCCAGTTTAAAATTAGTGCATATTTTTTTTAAATTTACTATAAAAAATTTAGTACAAAAATAAAAATAATAGTGTAAATATCCTATCATTCAGCTTCTAATTATCAACTCATGACCAGTCTGGTTTTGTTTGTACCTCCTACTCACTCAATATGGACTATTTTGAAGCAATTCCAGTATTTTAATTTAATCCATAAATCTCAATACATATTGCTAACAGATAAATTTAAAATACAGAACCACACTTACATTATTTACACCCAAAATCCATGAACAATTACTTTCTATTGTACAATACGCAGTGTACAATTTCCTCAAGTTTCTAACAAAAAAACTTCTTACACTTAATTTGTTTAAATCAGGATCCAAATAAAACCCTCTGTTGCTATTGGATGAAATTATCTTTCAAATATTTTAGACTACTGGTCTCCCCTCTGATTTCGTTTTTTATCTTGCAATTTATCTGCTAAAGAAAGCAGGTGGTTTGTCCTATAGAATTTCCCACATTTCCATTTTGCTGATTGTACCCTGTGGTGGTATTTTATACATGCTATTCTCTTTGCCCGTATTTCCTGTAAACTCGTAGGTAGATAGAGACTTGATCAAATCAAATCTTGATCAATTCTTGACTTTTTAACCAAGAATACTTCAGTGATAGTATGGATTTCATCAGGAGGTACACAATTAAAAGTTGTCTTTCTTTTTGTTAATGATGATGTTAGCGATGATCCTTTCCTAGATCCAATATTTCATTTGGGATGCAAAATGTTGATATTGTAATTCCAGCACTACTTGCTTATTTATTAGCTCAAATACCTCTTTGATGACAAACTTCCTCTCACTTACCATTTGGTTGCCACGAGCTATAATTCTTACAGGTAAAGATAAATGCTTAATATTCCTTTATTATCAAATTTCCAAAATTATGATTAGGTTTCTTAATATACTCCAAAGGTTGTCAATGAGTTTTGAAAATTTTTGTTTTTAAGTATCATTATAAACTCATGAATTTAAACATGTGTGATGTGTTTTAGTCCACTTGTAGTTGTTATTATTGATGCTCAGGTTGTGCAATCTATAACCAGCATAAACATCTTTAAGTTGGCTCTTGAATCCTTTTAACATGGCCTCAGTAGGCTTTGACAGACTTTGTTTTCCAATGTTACAAAACATTCCCAGCTTCCCATTCATTTCTTGCCCCAAACCTGGAATTGGCCATATTTCCAAGGAATTGTAATTTTTTCAGTGGGAAATGTTATCTAGTGACTACAACCTAGATGCTAGGGGCACTCATTGATTCTGAGCTGGACAGGATTTCTAGGCCTTTTCAGAAAATGGAGGTATATAATACATGTTTTGTTTGCTTAAGACAAAAATACACCATGAATTCTACTGATATTTCTAAATTTAGTTTTAAAGAAGTTATATAAAAACCCTATTATATTTGTACTAGAGGCCCGATGTACAAAATTCGTACAAGGGGCTCGGCCCTCGCAACTCTGGCTTCATCCGGAAGTTTGTTTGACTGTCTGGTCTAATTAGCATATTATGCTTTTATTATTATAGATTTCTTTTTTATTTTGTTAAGAATCTTGGTTTCTAATGACATTAACAATTACTTGCTTTATAATATAAAAAGTTTCAGAATAATAATTTCAAAAACAGTTTAGGATAATTTTACAATTCTTTTTGTCCTCCAGTTACCTCCTTGCTGGCAATTTACAGTGATATTAATGTGCTCTAAAGTTACTTTAATTCCTCTCCATTGGCTATGCCACCAGCTCAATACACAGCTAGGTTCATTTATTTCAGTCTGCTTTTGATTTTTAAACATTCACATGATTCCAAAGTTAAAACAAATACAATCAATACACAAAAAATGTATATTCAAACAAGTCAAGCTTTCATTCCTTTCCCCTCCAGCCTGTATTTCCCTCCGCAACCATAGGAAATGCTTTTTTCTTTGTTTTTGAGTCAGCCTTCAACTAAAAAAAAAAAATACAGTCAATTCTCATATGTAGTACTATGTTCTATAAAGTGCTGCAAACACCAAGTAGTGAATACTCAATCACTGCTTGAAGGGGAAATACAGGGTTAGGTTTCTGTGAGCCCCTGGTCACAATATTTTCATCAACTGATAGATATTCCCTTTTTTTTCAAGCGTGTTTCTGTTTAAAGACACCTTATTTAATACATAGTTAACTCATTAGCATTAAACTAAAAGCAAACAACGCCCTAGCTCATACCTAAATGAAGCTTATCTAAGACATATTATGAACTTGATCTTCTCGAGCTTAGGTACACTAGGCAGCACTTAACATTATGTTCCAAGACCATTTTAAACAGCCAAGTCACAACAAAAAGCAGAAACGTGAAAAATGTGACATATGCCAAGAAAAGAACATTGTTTACAATATGAAAACTGGAAAACAGTACAATAGGCAACTTAATTTTTTTTTTTTTTTTTTTTTTTTTGCCACTCTACACATGTACTTTCTACAGTTCATAAATGACTGTAAAAGCTTCTTGAGTACTGATTTGGGGATTAAAAAATTTTTAGCAAGAAGGCAAATTCGAAAATAGGAGATCTATGAGGATACATGTGCACGCGTACACACACAGACACTCTCTCTCTTTCTCATAGCCCTTCTTAAAAAGTAGCATACTATATATACTTTTCTCACCTTGCTTTTTTCACTCAGTAATACTTATCCTAAAGATTTCTCCAAGGTAGTACAGATATATTCCATGCTTTCTTTTTTCAACTATAGAGTACACTATTGAGTGAATACCCTGTTTTTCAACAAGTCCCCTCCTGGTGGACATTTCGTCTTTTGTTAATACAAACACTGCAGCAATAAATAGCACTGCCTATACATCTTTCTATTTTGGGGAACAGATTCTTAAACATGGGGTTGTTAGGTTAAAGGATGAATGCACATATAATTTTGCTACATATTTTACTGTATAATTTCTTCAATGTATATTTCTAATATGACTCAGATAAATACCGTACGAGTTTGCTACAAAGGATTGAAATAAGCTACAAGAGTTGGTAAACTGCAGTGTTATTTAAAAGGAGTTAAAAAACAAAAGCTACTGAATTAACATAACAGTGGTGAAACGATCATGAAAAAATAAAATCAAACATGCTTTAAGCATTTTGAATGTGAAACATTTCACCTTTCTGAGCGAGACTGTTCAACCAAAAGAGCAACTAAAGCTATCATTTTTTCAAGGGCAGCTGGCCTGTATTTTTCTTCTGCCAGAGAAAGGATATCTTCTTCCTCCTCCTCTTCTTCCCCTTCTTCCTCTGACAACACTTCAACTTGAGGCTAGAACAGAACAAAATCCAATTTTAATATATTAGTTTTAACATTATCTTGAGAGCATATAATTTGATTGTTTTATATAACTAACCAAGGTAGATGGTGGGAGGAGTATGTGTCATGAAAACAACAACACTCAAAGGCCTAACCCTAACTTTAAAAGTGTAAACCACATTCAGGACAATTTTAGATCTAATGGGCAGAACTGTAAAGAGCCATGATTGATTCTCAAAACTGTGACTATTTACCTTACCTAAAGGAATAAATCCTTTAATAATTTTTTTTCTTATTGGCAAGCCCTTTGGAAGATAAATCAGATCAAAATTTATGAGTATGGTAAAAGAGTATTTATTATTTAATAAAACTGCCGGTTACACAAATTAAGGCATCCTTATTTGCAGTTGTCAAATAATCTAAATAGTAGGTATTTTGAAGAGATATTCACTTGGGCTTTGAAATGAAAGAGACTGAAAAGGTTTAATGATCTAACAAAGCAAGAGAAAAGCAGTCTTAACAAGCAGCCATATAGGCTAGAATTACATAATAACTGTCCATATTCTGAGAAGCATTTATATATACACTAGAGGCCCAGTGCACAAATCCTTGTACTGGGCCTCTAGTATGCATATATCATCTTTGGTTAAAATCTTTGGTTAATCTCTTCCCACCCTCTTCCCTCCCCACTCCCCTCTGAGATTCATCAGTCTGTTCCATGTTTCCATGCCTGTGCGTTGAGTGTCTGCTTCCCCCCCCACCCCCCCCATGCTCAGTGCGTGTCATAGCTACCGGTCGAACGGTTGGTTAGGCTTTTATATATATAAATGTGATTAATACTTTATAGGTAAGGAGTCTGACCAAGGATCAAAGCCCAACTCACTGTGATTTAAAACAAGTTAATGTCTTTATGCCTCAAGTTCCTCATCTGTAAAATGGAGATAACAAAACTACTTACCTCTTAGGATTACAAACGGATTAAATAGAACAGTGCAAATAGAGCATTCAATCCAATGTTTGTCATTACAGACAACACAAAATCCACATTAATGCCTTAATATATAAACAGACTAGCTACTTAAATTTTTTGAGACTCTGATAAAAAATACGGGCAACACAAATTTTCATCAAAACAATAAGTTAATGATAGAACCCCAAAGTGGGTGGTGGCCATTTTGCCTAAATTATTTCCTTTGTTCCATGGCTTTACCAATCAAATTTATTGCTTGATTGTTTCTTCTCTTGCTATACCCATTAAAAATATCAATCAAACTTAGACTCTTAAAACTATCTAATATCACAGCTCGAAGGGACTTTAAAGAGTTAATATTTCATGATTTTCCATGATGCAAACTTGTAAACATGGCCTATAAATCCCTGATATGAGACAGGATTGTACTTACATTTTCAGGCCCTTTGGTTCCCATGTAAAAATGTACCATTGTAGATATGGCTTGCAATGAAAGCAAAAACTGGCTCTAAAAATAAAAATATTGGTTTAAAAATATGATATAAAAACAAATTTTAAATACTGAAAATAGGTACATAATACCAGAAATAAACATGATATGGCCTCACCTCTTCTTCACCCATTTTAGCAAATTCGTAAAGGAAGGCAAAATATTCTGTAAGATGTTTACTATGAGGTTTTACACCATGTTCCATAATTAATAATAGAGTTCTCACAAATCGAGTAACACATGAACGACCACCAATATCTTCAACCGAGGCATCCATATCATCCGACCTGAAAGCACAATTTAATATATCTTAGAGAAAGTATGAAGTCTGGAGATAGATACTCTGGGAGGAGAACTGTTTTTAAAAACCTGAATTTTGCCCTGGCCAGTGTGGCTCAGTTGGTTGGAGCATCATCCAGTACACCCAAAGGTCATGGGTTTGATTCCCCGTCAGGGCACATACCTAGGTTGTGGGTTTGATCCCCAGTTGGGGCATATACAGCAGGCAACCGACAGATGTCTCTCTCACATTAATGTTTCTCTCTCCCTTTCCCTCTCTTCAAAAATCAATGAGCATGTCCTCAAGTGAGGACTTAAAAAAACAACACCAAAATTTAACTCTCTCTTCTTTATAATAATAAAATACCAATTACAACAATGTAGTAGTTGGATTCCAATTATTGTGCCTGGCTAAATCAATATAAGCAAAAGATGAAGTCATAAAGTTATTTGTAGAGTATTTTGAAGATGCACTTAATTAAAAATAAAAGAAGTAAAACAAGTTTTGCCTTCTTGATTTATATAATTACAGATTTTTTTTTAAACAAACAAACAAAAAAACCACCTAAATATTTCAATGTGAATATTTACAAATACTTTGTACGAAGCCCTAGTTGGTTTGGCTCAGTGGATAGAGCATTGATCGGCCTGCAGACTGAAGGGTCCCGGGTTCAATTCTGGTCAAGGGCACATACCTCAGTTGCAGGCTTCTCTCTAACCCGGGCCTTGCAGGAGGCAACCAATGGATGTGTTTCTCTCACATCAATGTTTCTCTCTCTCTTCCACTCTCACTAAAAATCAATGGAAAAAAAAATGTCCTCAGGTGGGGATTAACAACAACAAAAAAACTTTGTAGGCAGATCATCAAAAAGCTTAACAATAAAATGTTCAAAAAATAGTTCTTACCCATCTTCCATTCCTGGCTGTAGATAGAGATGAGCATGCACAGGTCTAAGTCTCTGAATCACATGGATGCACAAACGCTGAAACATCTATAAATGAAAAGATTAAAACAATCTGGAAGCCAACTCACATCAGGTAACAAAGATACTGAAAAATTTACATAATTCAAATTCTCTGCCATCCATTTGTATTTGCCTGCATATTAAATCGTTTTACATTCTAAAGCTTTCTTGGAGTCTCAACTGCAGACTGAAGATATAAGGCAAAGTTAGTTTAAAAAACAACATTCAGTTTTATAGTAAGGGATAAACAAAAACAAGTTAAGTTTCAGTAATAGAGATTACCAAAAACAAAGCTTCACAAAACTCTCTTAACTGTGGAGAATCTCTAAATAAGATATACAAATGGTCAATAAACACATGAAAAGATTTTCAATATCATTAATTAATAGGACAATACAAACCAAAACCACAACGGGATACCACTTCATACTCATTAGGATGGCTAAAATAAAAAACAGTAAAAAACGTTGAAGAACATGTAGTGAAACTGGAACCCTCATAGATTGCTGCTGGGAGTATAAACTGGTGTAGACACTATGAAAAACAGTTTGGTAGTTCCAAAAATTGTTGAAGATAAAGTGACCATATGACCTAACAATTCCACTCCTAGATACATATTAAAAAATATTGAGCCCTGACCGGTTTGGCTCAGTGGATAAAGCATCGGCCTGCAGACCAAAGGGTCCCGGGTTCGATTCCAGTCAAGGGCATGTACCTTGGTTGTGGGCATATCCCCAGTGGGGGTTGTGCAGGAGGCAGCTGATTGATGTTCTTCTCTCACCGATGTTTCTAACTCTCTATCCCTCTCCCTTCCTCTCTGTAAAAAATCAATAAAATATATATTTTTAAAAAATATTGAAAACATATGCCAGGGGAGGATGGGTGGGTGGGAGGTAATCAACCAAGGACCTTGTATGTATAGATGCATGGCCCATGGACATAGACAATGGGGCGGTGAGGGCATGGGTCAGGGGATAGGGGTGGGCTGAAGGGGGTCAACGGGGGCAAAAAGGGGGCATATATAATATTTTCAACAACAAAGAATTATATTTAAAAAGTGGTGGGGTTATGGGGCATTTTCAAAAATAATAATGTAAATATTGCAAAAATCAGAATAGCATTGTTTGGAAAAATATTCTCACCGACGTTGAATAAAGATTTGCAATCTATGTTAAAAAAAAATATGTCAACACAAATATTTGCATACAAATGTTCATAGCAGCATTATTCAAAATAGCCAAAAAGTGGAAACATCCCAAATGTTCATCAATTGCTGGATGAATAAACAAAATCTGGAATATTCATTTAATGGAATATTATTTGGCAATGAAAAGAAATGAAGTACAGATCCATAATCCAGCATAGATAAATCTTGTAAATATTATAAAATCAAAGAATCCAGTCACAAAAGACCACATGCTATATAATTTCATTTATAGAAATGGTCAGAATAGATAAATCTATAGAAAGAGAAAGCAGATTAGTATTGCCAAGGGCTGGTGAGAAGAGACAGGATAAAATGGGGAGTGACTACTAATAGGTATATGGCTTCTTTTTGGGGGGTTATAAAATCAGATAAATGACAGTTGCACAAGTTTAGAAACAAACTAAAAACCACTAAATTTTACACTTTGAAAAGTTTCGGTAAGTTTTATATTATAAGAATTACATCTCAATAATAACTGAAAAGTGGCATATTTCAGATCAAATTTTTGTTTTTGTATAATAAATAAATATAAAGTAATATTTGTATTTTCCTTGCCTCAATTTTCCAACTAGAAAAACAAATATTCATGTGATAGCTCAGGACTTGTCACAGAAATGAATTATAAACTATTTATTTAACTTTCAAGGTCATTTCAGTCCCCATGGTTAGAATATCTTAAAGATGTGAAAAAGAACCAGTACAACTCATAAAGCAGCCAGAATAGGATCTGAGACAATGGTGGCTATAGCTATCTTCCTATTACCAGGCCATGTGAATGATTTAAATTGCTTGATTGAAATATTTGTGTAGAAAGGGCTGGTGAAAACAACAGTAAAATGACTTTTATGGTAAAAGGTTGATCTTTCCCAATTATATAAAAGACTAGAGGCCCGGTGCACAAAATTCGTGCACTGGGGGTTGGGGGTGTGTCCCTTCAGCCCAGTCTGTGCCCTCTTGCAATCCGGGACCCCTCCCTCCTTACTGCCCACCTGCTCGCTGCTCCTTACTGCTTGTCTCGCTGCTCCTTAGCACTGCAGTGGAGGTGGAAGAGGATCCTGCCACAGCTGCTGTGCTTGCCAGACGTGAGCCTGGCTTCTGGCTGAGCAGTGCTCCAGCTGTGGGGGTGCACTGACCACTAGGGGGCAGCTCCTGTTTGAGCGTCTGCCCCCTGGTGGTCAGTGCACATCATAGCGACCGGTCATTCCGCCATTCGGTTGATTTGTATATTAGGGTTTTATTATATGTGATGGGTTAAGACATAGTCTCGGGCTAATTTAGAATCAACCTGACAGCCGTTTCTTTTTCAAATACATTTTTTCTTACCTGTCTCACAATTTGATTAGGGCACTTAATTAATATCTGCATTGGCCACCAGTCATCATCAGCCATGCGGTCCAAAAACCACTGTAAGAAAATAGTGGGATTTTAACATTTAACCAAAACTCGTTAAATGGGATAAAAATCCTATAAGAATTTTAATACTCATCAATATTTCAATTATTTTAAAATTTTACCAAAAGAGATTCTTCATTTGCTAAAAAATCCAAAACCTAAAATGCCTAAAGTCATAATCAGGATCACCTTATTATAGAACCAGAGGCCCGGTGCACAACATCTGTGCACTGGTGGTGTGTGTGCGTGTGTGTGTGTGTGTGGTGTCCTCCTCAGCCTGGCCTGCGCCCTTTAGCAGCCCAGGAGCCCTCGGGGGATGTCCAATTGACAGCTTAGGCCCACTCCCTCGGGTGAGTGGCTCCCCTTACCGCCGCTGCGCTCACCATGTCTGCCCCCTGGTGGTCAATGCATGTCATAGCGACCAGTTATTCCACCATTTGGTCGATTTGCATATTACCCTTTTATTATATAGCAGGGGTCCTCAAACTTTTTAAACAGGGGGCCAGTTCACTGTCCCTCAGACTGTTGGAGGGCCGGACTATAGTTTAAAAAAAAACTATGAACAAATTCCTATGCACACTGCACATATCTTATTTTGAAGTAAAAAAACAAAACGGGAACAAATACAATATTTGTGTTTTGCATGTGGCCCGCGGGCCGTAGTTTGAGGACCTCTGTTATATAGGATGGGATACTGTTTTCCTCTTAGTCCTCATAAATGGCATACTGTAGAATCTTTTGTTTCTTTTGTTATGATCTGAGTACGATTCATTTTCTTTATGTTTAAAAACAAATCATGCTCTCTTGATAACAAAAAACATGCTTCTTTAAGCTAAGAACAATTTCCCACTGATTTTGAGATATCTTTGAGTAACATATTTAACTCTTCTACTGAATTGTACTATTTATGCATACACGCAATTAATGACAATTGTAAAAAACATGTTTAATTCCTTGACAGAGTTCCAATAGCAAATCCTTAATTAAAATTCTAAAGCAAAAATGTATTAAAAAATAAAAAAAAAAAACAATTATGACCTAATCAACCCACCCTCTGGATCTATGAAACAGCTTAAAAATCATGAAGTGGAAGGGGAATAGAGAAAAATGTTAAATAACACCAGGAGGATGCAATTAGCTAAAGCCAACATGTGGAAAATCCTGCATAACAAATGACAAAGTAGCAAATAAGTAGAAAAATAAGTAACTGCTAATATATGGAAGACTGAAGAGACAAAAGCAAAATGTGGACCCTGTTTGAACACTAATGTAAGCAAACCAACTGAAAAGAATACATTTTTTTAAAGAGACAAGTAGAGAAAACTGAACACGGAATGGGTACTGGATATTAAGGAATCGCTTCTAATTTTACTAGCAGTGAATGGAGATACATACTGAGCTTAATTGATATATGATATGGTATCTGGATTTGCTTTAAGATACTTCAGCTGAGAAAAAGCATGGGGGGAGACACAGAAATAAAAAAAAGATGTTATCTTTTGTTGAAATTGGGTGATAGGTACATCTTTCTTCTTTTGTGCTTGTTTTGATATTAAGATGGCAATATGGTTTAGCAATCATTATCTGGGAGCAAATATCCTTAGGGATGTCTTTCTCTTATAATGCAATATTGGAGGAGATAAAAACTGAATATAAACTGATCCACTGGGATATATGTATTTTTTTCTCAGAGAGGTAGGGGAGATATACATTTTAAGTAGTTTCTGATAACATTCAAAAGTAGTTAAGAAATATCTGATAGTCTTTGGAATTTTCTATACTTTTTCTTCTAATGTGGGGGGAACCAAAGAGTTTTAAAGTAACTTAATCAGTTATTTAATGGGTGTAATAGATTTGATAAATAAATTATAACTTTCTTTCAGTTATCAAATGATTTTATGACAAACTCACACTGGGCTCCCTATGATTTGATAGATAAACAATTTTGCTGTAGCATCTATGTTAAGAAAACTAAGAAATGAATCTTAAGTTATGTGTTGATGGTTGCATTATTCACCTCACCTCACAAGCTGCTTGACTATTATTAAATTGTTTCGTCAATAATTCAATCCATTGAAGCATTGTGGGCTAAAAAAACAAAAAGAAAGAAAGAAGTCACTGAAGGCATAAGGAATTCTCAGCTAAAGATAGATAATGAAAACCAAAAGATATCAAATCACAAAAATGCACAAAATAAAACATACCTTTTCTTTTGAATGAATAAATGTCTCTAGGACAAAGGAAGTGCTTAACTGTAAAGAAAGATGAAATTAAGCAAAAAAGACAGAATTATTTTAAAGTAGTCATTTTGAAAAAGTTATCTAAGGCTTATATATTACCTTTGCAGTCATTAGAGACACAGCTTTAGGATCTGGTAATGTACTGGGAATACAACTACACAACTGCCACATAAACCTAGAATTTAAAAATAGTAAGTTGAAATTCTTATAGGAAAAAAATTTAAACGTGTAACAAAAAAAACTATTATGGGGGGAGACAGAGAGGTTAAAGGGGGGATAAATGGTTACAGATGGAGACTTGACTTTGGGTGGTGAACAAACAATACAATAAATAAATGATATATTATAGAATTGTACACCTGAGTCATATATAATTTTATTTAACCAATGTCAGCCCAATAAATTCAATAAACTTTAAAAATCTACTACTAAATTTATCAAACTTACCCAAAATATGTATGTTCAAAAATATTTTTGTCTTGAAGAAACTGCATGTTATCATGCCAAATCCACTGGAAAAAAAAAAATGTTAACATCAGATATTGCTTCATTACATTTTACCAATATTTTAAGAACAACCCCCCCAAAATACATGCACTTAAAATTCATGTTGATTTTTTTCCAGGAATAAGGAACATGAAAGTACTGTTAAGTTACTAAACCTGATCCAATTTATTATTCTATATCTAGCTATCTCAAGTGATTACTGTTGTTTAAGAACATATTTACAAAGATTTTGAAGAACAAACATATACATGAATAAAACTGTCATATATATTTGGATAAGAATAGGTAATAAGAGAAAGGTTTATGTTTAAAAACTGGCAAAAAAAGACAACCACTCTTTAATTTATGTTGGCAGACCTATATGGGAGTTGATTTCCCTGTTTACTCTATAAAAATAATGAAAAATTATTATTTCTCACAACAGTCCTGTGGAACTACTCTGTCGTTAGTTTTTATGTTCCTTCATCTCTTTGAATACCTTAAAAACATGCTCTAAGTTACTGTCAGGCAGTTCCATAACATTATTTTTACCTGGTTCAATTTTATTTTCTGATTATTGATATTATTGGCTAGCTTTATCACCCTAAAGATTTTCAACTAACTCTACTTACCCTCCAGCCCCCTACTACTCTGGACCCAGGTTTCATAATCACATATTAGGGCTCCTGCTGTACAATATATTTAGAAAATCACAGACCTAGTCATTGAATGGCCTTGCTTCAGAGTTCTTGGTCCTCTACTATTTCTAGGCATAGACTAGCTGTAGCCACAAGGAAAGTTTGACAGCACTTACTCCACTCAATTCAGTGCCTTTCCATGGCAACTGAGCCCTATTCCAACTTCTTGCTTTTAGCTAGGTACTATCTCTTTAACCTCCCAAGAGCTGAACCTTTGGCCACCATTATCTGCTTTGGACCTAAAGCCTGGTAGTCCCATGATTTCCACCAGATTTACTGTGCCTTTAATTATGTTCCCTTTCTGTTCTATAGAAATATTTATCTTATTTTTTTATTGTCCTTTTTGCCTTGTATCAATACAATGTATGTGGAACCAACTGGGTATGTTTAAGTGTGAAACTATTGTACTACATTGATCAGAAAGAACTTTCCTAAGTGTTTTTCTATATACCCATCCAACTTCATCTTGGATCACTCTTCCTTGCATTTATTAATCATCACAGCTACAGAGGTCACCTTTCAGCGTCTAAAATAGGCCAACAAACTCTATTCTTCCTCAGGACTCTCTGTATGTAACATTCTTTTTTCCCAGGGTACTCTTCAAATGATTAACTCCTCACTAACTTTCAAACTGAAGTTGAAGGTCACATTTCCTGAATACCTTCCACAGCACTCCTGATTCAATTATCCTTTTCTGAGCACTCTACTTGTTTTATCCATAATAGTCACACATTTGAGGGTTCTAAAAATTTTCTTTTTACCTCTGGTAAAGTCTGCTACTAGCTATATTTTAACAGTACAAATCTAAAAAACCAGATTCCAGTTTACATATAAAATCTATGTTAATGTTAAGTAACACTATTATTATTTATTTTAAATTTTTTAGTAAAATGTATGTGAAGGCAAACATTTTAAATTAATAAGCTGAAACGATGATAGAAAAAAATGGTTGGTTTAGGTCTACAATCAAGAATACTCTAACAGAGTCTAGTTTGTTTTTCTTGTTATTATTATTATAATAAGCAAACGTCTGGGATTCCCTTTTCTCACAAGGTAAATCAGTGCTTCTCAAAGAATGGTTCAGAGAGCTGTGGTGTCCCTGTGACATTTTTAGGGTGTCTAAGATCCAAAGCATACAATGGAGTTTTCCAAAAGCTAAATGACGAGATTATAATATACCAAAATACAGAAGTTGTTATGAGACACAAGCTGTCTTGTATTAAATCAGATATTAAAGAGATTTGCAAAAATGTAAAACAGGGACACTTTTCTCACTGAATAGTATTGTTCTGAGAGAAAAAAAAAATTTTTTTTTTAAACTCTAAAATTCTCAGCCCGGCTGGTGTGGCCCAGTGGTTGAGTGTCACCTATGAACCAGATCATGGTTCAATTCCCAGTGAGAGCACAGGCCTGGGTTGCAAGCTTGATACCCAGTGTGAGGCGTACAGGAGGCAACCGATCAAGGATTTTTCTCTCGTTGATGTTTTCCTCTCCCTCTCCCTCTCCCTTCCTCTCTGAAATCAATAAAAAATATATTTTTTAAAAAGGACGGGGCAGGCTAGAAGAAGTCAATGGGGGGTAAAAGGGGAACATATGTAATACTTTCTAAGTCTGCCCGAATACCCTGGGGGCATATAATCTTACACATAATGGAGATTCTAATCTATTTAATTTTAATTATGGATGGTGGTTGAAATTATTGTACAAGTAGGTGAGTTTAGTGGCCTAAAATGTAGCAAAGCAACTAATTTTTCTGGTAAATCCAATTCAAGGGCTTAATGAAAACAATATTCTTGGCTTTTAATCAGTAACATTATGGGTAGGCAAGATACCAATTTAGAGTATGTGTTTGGGGGAACTCAGTTTTAAGTCCTGAACACATAGTGGAAATATCAGCAAATCAATTAGATAGTAAAAACTGAATTGTCTATATGGGAGGGTATTTTTTCAGGTATACCTTTCTGGAGATTTACTTTTTGTACTTTTGGCTGACTGGCTTTGGCTGACTGGCTTAGTTTACAACAATGACACAACACACACTGCGTGATGAGTACTTTTGTAAGTCTTAAAACATTAAAGTAACATTACCACTTACATTATGAAATAAAGAAAGACTCATTACTATAAATCAAACACTTTATAATGTAAAAAAAACATATTTCAAATGCATTTCAAATACACATACACTTATACTTGCAACAAAGAATAAGAGAACACTTGCAATTCTATCACCACTAAGAACATTACCAACCATACAAGCTACCTGCAGGCTTGCTGTAATGCCATCAACCATTTTATCTTTCTTATTTTTCTTAAATGTTACTAATAATCCCTTTAATCTCATTCACTTTATATTCACCTGTTGTATGTCAGTATTACCAAAAGTATTTGCATATTGTGTTAAGGTTTATCCTCGATTATAGGTACTAATGCTGTCATAGCCTAATCTTGTATCACAGTACTATTATTACTTAAAAAATACTTAAAACATGCTTTCAAATTGTTGCTAAAGTTAAATTAGCTTATACCTCTAGTAATTCTGATGAAACATCAAATTTGTATTCTTTCCCATTTTCTTCCTCTGGTTCCATGCGTTTATAAAACAGCATATATGCACTATGTGTCTTTAAGAGGGAAAAAAAAGTACATTTTCAGTTTGATAAAATATGATTATTAAAGAAGGCAACATGTATAGCATGGATGGAACTGGAGAGCATTCTGCTAAGTGAAATAAGCCAGTCAATGAAAGAAAAATACCACATGATCTCACTCATTTATGGATAATTAAGACCATTATAAACTGATGAACAAAAATAGATACAGAGGCAGAGCAACATTGAACAGACTGTAAAACTACAGGGGGAAGGCCAGAGAGGGTTGTGGGTAAGGGGTGGGTGGGTAAGAGATCAACCGAAGGACTTCTATGCATGCATATAAGCATAACCAATGGACACAAGACACTGGGGGGTAGGGGAGGCCAGGGGAAGGTCAAGGGGAGAAAAGAAAAAAGGAGACATATGTAATACTCTTTGTAACACTTTAAGCAATAAAACAAAATTTTAAAAAAAGCAACATAAAAAAAGAGAATGATGTAAAATTACATATGAAGTGGTTACCTTTTCAAAAGAGAAATCCATAAACTTATCTGTAACAGAATCGTAGGTCTTGGTCTGTTTTAAAAAATAAGTTTCCTTCTTTAGAAAATGGGCACATTCAGTTGAATTACATATAAAATACTTTTTAAAAAGCTGTTTAATACTATGCAATAACTTCATCAATAGTTTCTCAAATAGCATAGCATTCATAAAAATCCTTAACAGTAATTTTTGGCTAAGAGTATTAAAATTGGAGATTCAAAATGTATTTTAACGTACTTTACCATAAAATATATAAAGCATAAAGAAATAAAAGGAACTTGCAATTTTAAAAAACTCTTATAAAAGAAGAGTTTTTTGTTAAGTTTACTTTTTTTTTTTTTAGGAATAGTTCTATGAATGACTTTAGAGATGCAATCAGTTTAGTGATAGCTTCAGTGGTAACTCATTATTTACTCCTCCTTTCACCCATTTCCAAAGTATCAGCAGTTTTCCTACTTCTTTTATATTCAGAATAGTATAAGGACACCAAAGAGCAATAAAAAGTCCATTAAAATCCAAAATGTGAATAATTATTTCACAATAAACATGGCTATCAAAGTGAAAAACTGGTTTATCTGGGCTTATCTGTGATATGGAAATGACTATTAAATATTTGACTTATAAGAATTAACAGGGTATTTTTAAAGTTTTCATAAAACTGGTAGGTGTGAAATTATTACAATTCTACTCCAACCTAATGATCTTTTTGTATAGCTTACTGCTAATTATGTAACAGGTAAGCTATTCTTTTTCTATCCTGTCACTTGTAATAACCAGGTTGCTGCTGCTTTATAAAAGGGACCGAATAAACAATTCTTTAAAGCCCAGCTCAATCTAACTTCCTTGTCAAAAAGTGTTCATAATCTTATCTAATAAAAGAGGAAAATGGTAATTGGCGTACGACTGCAACCCTTCCCATTGGCTAATCAGTGAGATATGCAAATTAACTGCCAGCCAAGATGGCGGCTGGCAGCAGGGCAGCTTGAAACTAACATGAGGCTTGCTTGCTTCAGTGACGGAGGACTCCAACGTTCCCCACCTGCCTTGCCGGACTCTGAGCTTTCAGTTTAAGAAACATTGTAACAAATATAGAAGCTAAACAAAACCCCAGAAACCTGCTTTCAGTGAGCCCGGGATCTCAGAGCTGGAGTTATACATTGTTTCGATTATAGGACCGAAACAAACCAGATACCTTCTTTCAGCAGCAGAGGCCTCAGAGCTGGAGCCAGAGCTAAAGCTGGCCCAGAATAAAAAGGAAAAAAAAAGAAAAAAAGGAACAGTTGGGAGCTTCAGTCGGCCTGAAAACAGCCCTCAGCCCCTCACCCAGACTGGCCAGGCACCCCAGTGGGGACCCCCACTCTGAAGGGTGTGTGACCAGCTGCAAACAGCCATCATCCCCTCACCCAGGCTGGCCAGGCACCCCAGTGGGGACCCCCACCCTGATCCAGGACACCCTTCAGGGCAAACCAGCCAGCCCCACCCATGCACCAGGCCTCTATCCTATATAGTAAAAGGGTAATATGCCTCCCAGCACCGGGATCAGCGGAGCCGCGAGGCCTCCCAGCACCGGGATCAGCGGAGCCGAGAGGCCTCTCGGCACCGGGATCAGCGTGACAGGGGACAGCGCCCAAACCCCCTGATCGCCCTGCAGCTCTGTGTGTGACAGGGGGCGGGGCCACAACCTCCCTATCCGCCCTGCTCTATTTGTGACAGGGGAAGGCGCCCTAACCCCCTGATCAGCCCTGCTCTGTGCCTGATAGGGGGGAGCTCCCTAACCCCCTGATCGCCCTGCGGCCCTGTGTGTGACAGGGTGCGGCGCCCCAACCCCCCTCCCCCCATGGGCCCTGCTCTGTGTGTGACGAGGTAGAGCCATAACCTCCCCATCGGCCCTGCCCTGAGTATGAGAGTGGCAGCGCCCCAATCCCCTGATCGGCCCTGCTCTGTGGGTGATAGAGGGCGGTGCCCCAACCCCCTGATCCGCCCTGCCCTGAGTGTGACAGGGGGCGGTGCCCCAACTCCCCTATCGGCCCTGCTCTGTGCATGACAGGGGGGAGCTCCCCAACCCCCTGATTGACCCTGCTCTGTGCGTGACAGGGTACAGAGCCCCAACCCCCCTGATGGGCCCTTCTCTGTGCGTGACAGGGGGCTGCGCCCCAACCCCGATTGGCCCTGCTCTGTGAGGACAGGGGGTGGCGCCGCAACCTCCCCATCGATCCTGCCTTTAGTGTGACAGGGGGCGCTGCCCCAACCCCCAATCGGCCCTACCCTGAGCATGACTGAGGGTGGCGCCACAACCTCCCCACTGACCCTGCCTCGAGTGTGACAGGGGGCAGTGCCCCAACTCCCCAATCAGCCCTGCTCTGAGCCCGACCAGGGGCTGCACCTAGGGATTGGGCCTGCCCTCTGCCACCTGGGAGCAGGCCTAATCCAGCAGGTCGTTATCTCCCGAGGGGTCCCAGACTGCGAGAGGGCACAGGCCGGGCTGAGGGACCCCCCCCCCCCCCGCGAGTGCACAAATTTTTGTGCACCGGGCCTCTAGTCTAAATATATAAAAGCTTAAGCGACTGTTGGACCGGTAGCTATGACACGCACTGACCACCAGGGGGCAGACACTTTGACCCGTAGGTTAGCTTGCTGCTGGGGATCTGGCCGATCGGGACTGGGCAAGACAGGCCAGACACACCCTGGAGCCCTCCTGCAATCCTTTTTTGGCCCCCATCGTGCACTGGTGGGGTCCCTCGGAGAGCCGGTTTAGGCCCAATCCTTGCAGGCCAGGCCCAGGGACCCCATCGATGAAAATCTGTGCACTGGGCCTCTAGTAAGTCAATAAAGAGTAATATCTTTTGCCTTTAATCCCAAAGCATTCAAGAAAACAACTTACTCAATCATAATGTTACAAGGCAAGGTAATTCAAGTTCTATACTATTATTTAATTTTCAATTGCTAAGTCTTAATCTTCTTAATCAGTTGAAGGCAAAAATAGTAATTTTAAAAATATTTTCCAGGGTCTATTACATACTCCAAACATACTAAACTTCCATTAATACCAGCAGAATAAAATTTAGATTGAATCATAATGATTAAAAAGAAAGTTAAGTGATTCTGCTGTTGGATTTTATGATATTGCAAAGCATGTGAAAGTCACAAACTATTTATAATTTCTAAATAAAACTTACTGTCATTTCTCCACCAAAACATTCAGAGGCAAGTTGAGCAGAATCAAAAGGTTTTACCTCAGCATCATTAAAAAGATACCTAAAACAGAGCAAGTAGTGTTGATAAAGTATATATATAGTCAATACCTCTCTATTATGCCTATTTTAAAAATACTTAGGTTATATACTGATATATTATAAATAATTATCAAACTATTATTAATATGAGGTAAATTCTAACTAAGCTCTTGTTTTGATAACTCTAATCCACTAGAAATTAGGGATATAATTTTACAACAGTCATAACCACCCTAAAATTTGAGATTCATTTATAACCTAGAAGTAACAGGAGTTTGTAAAAGCAATAAAAAGTCTGCATAAATATAACATGTAACATGGACAAAAAATATTAAGAGATGGAAGAGCATCCAAAGATGAAGCTGCCATTTTAAAATTTATGATAAAAAAATGATTCAAAGTATATTTATGAAAATATATTCAAATGGACAAAAACATTAAAGATATCACATGATTGACTTAGAGAGAAATAGTTGAACTATTATTAAGTGCAGATTGAGACTCTATCTAACAACATCTGAAGACATTTGAAAACCAAAAAATAGTTACAAAAGAACTGATTTAATAACTTCCAACCATCTCTATATATAAAAGCCTAAGCGACCGGCCAACCAGTAGCTATGACATGCCCTCACCACCAGGGGGCGGGAGCTCAATGCAGGAGCTGCCAAGCTGCGTTGACTTGGTAGCTGTGGTTCTTGGGTGACACACCCAGAACCAGAGAGAAGGGAGTCTGATTCCAAGGTGCATCACCCGAGAACCACCTTCTCGCAATCCGGGACCCGTTGGGGGATATCAGAGAGCCAGTTTCGGCCCGATCCCCACTGACCAGGCTGAGGGACTCCACCAGTGCACGAATCCGTGCACTGAGCCTCTAGTTAACTTGATATAAGAAGATAAAATATAATGTGTGTGTCAAAGGAGAAAGGAAAGGTAAAGAGAGTGGAGCATGAAGGTAAACTTACTATGGTTTTTTTTGTTTTTGTTTTTTTTGGAAAATACATTGATTTCAGAGAAAGGAGAGGGAGAGAGAAATAGAAACATCAATGATGAGAGAAAATCATTGATCAGCTGCCTCCTGCACGCCCCACACCGGCGATTGAGCCTGCAACCCAGGCATGTGCCTTGAGCAGAAATCAAATTGTGGTCGATGCTCAACCACTAAGTCACGCCATCCCGGCTAGGTTAGCTTCTAACCAGAATATATAAGGACTTTGTGGCCACCCTATAGACAGAATTCAGTAAAAGCTCTTGAATGAGTGAACACAGACAGGTAAGATTTGGAAGGTGCAATATGTTCTATGAATATAAAATTGCATGCAAAATTTTGTGTTCATTCTTTCTTAAGAAAGCATTAATAAAATTCTCAAAGGAGTCTAGAGATCCATGAAGTTTAATAATTAGGTCATATTGTCTTTTGAAAGTAACTCTCATTTAAAAATTTTGTCTAACCCGTTTCTTAAATTTATAAAGTTTTCAGAAAACTGACACCAGAAAACATATCTGAAGAGAAAACTATCAACAGCTTATACTTTAAAAAAAGATTTTTTAAAATCCCAATAAAACATTTAAAACTCACCATTTATTGTTTTTATAAGCATGTGGATTGACTATATCTCTAATGAAGCTATAATAATGCCCACCATCTGCTGTTCCTGTGTGAACAGTCACTCCAATCAAGTCATATTCATAGCTCTCTGTGTCTTTTGAATGATCACTGACTTCCTTAAAGCCTGAAATGATTTACATAAAATAATGGCAATAATTTTGAAAACTACAGTGACACCTTAGAATCACTTTATATACTTTACGTACATAAGCAGGTACAGGTACTTTATATATTAAAATAGGTACAAAACAACTGCATTTGCTAGTCATTCATCATCCATAGCCTAAAATTTTAAGGAACATTTATACAAATTGGAAAAACCACCACCTATCAGTGCAAAACTATGGACAACAAATTTCTTATCTTGACATAAGTTTCTGCTACTTCCATCCATGAAAGCGTCATGAAAAATAGAAAGAAGCACAGTTCCTGTGCAGTCTTGCTATAATTTTAGAAATGGTTTGAAGAGTTCTAAAAAGAAGAATATATATATATACAATGCTCATTTCTTAACTTCACCTGTATTTTAAAACTTATCATCTCTACTGGCTCATTTCCTGCAGCTTCTAAATATACCCAAATGCTAACTTTAAAAATTCCCTTCCATAACTCCATATTCCTTCATAGCTATAGACGCCATCTTCTCTCCTCTCTTCAAATAAAGACCATGTTCTTCTCTTGAAAGAATACCCTACACCCATTGTTTACACCTCTCTCACCTCAGTAAGTGCCAGGCAATAGAATATAAAGATGAAATCATTGTTCTCTTTCCTAAATCTTATAATAACTTCTTTAAACCTTAAAATTTTAAATCAGCATAACTTTTTATACAAAGAAACAATTGACAGGACCTTTAATATGTAAAATGGAACTTCTCTGACTAAAAAAGAATGTAAAAGGCAAGGGCCCTAGATCTGTTCTGCTTTCTTCTCTCATCTATTCCCATTCCTCACCTCTGTGGTCCTTGAGTGGCATATGAAGAATTTTGAAAATCACTGGTCTTATGGAAGTAATAGCAATTTGGAGGTAACTTATGAACCAAGGGCCATCTCTGACTCATTGCAATCTACCTTCCTATTGCAATACCCAAATGAAATTGCTCCAGTAAAGATAACCAAAATTCTTCTCCATCACATTCTTACTGAAACTGTTGTTTTTCTTTAGCATCCAATAATTCTGATCACATTCCTTCTTTCTTGAGATCTTGAAATACTGACCCCTTATTCACCTAGCTGATCCAACCAGAAACCTGAGTCACTCGACTTTTCCTCCTCATTCTAGTAGCAGACTGACTAAAATGAAATGTAATCTTCAAAGGGGGCAGATACCTTGTTCTTTGTTGTCACTATAGTCCCATTACTACAAGAATAGCGAATTAGATAGTAGGTAGATGTTCAATAACTTTGTTGGATTCCATTATTCAATTGAGTCCTGTAAACTGCATCTCTATACACTTCTCCAATCTTACTGGTACGCTTTCTCGTCTAAGTTACCACCTCTGTAGTTTACCAGAATGGCCTCCCCACACCTCTGTCATCCATTTTGACTGCTGTAGTCAGATTAACCTTTTCCAGATCCCACCTGGTTCCCATCTCAGTTCTCTGCTTAAAATCTCCCAATGGTTTCACATTGAATAAAGATCAAAATTTTTAACATGACCTACCAAAAAAATGATTTGGCCCCTGCCATTTGCCCATTTCATCAGCTCCACTCCTCACCTGCCAAAGAGCTTACCCATTCCTCTCAATCTAGCTCTTACTCAAGTTCTGCTTAAATGTCACCTTCTCATAAAAGTCCTCCCCGATTCCCTTAGAAGTATGTAATACATTCACTGTCCTATTTGACATTACATCATGTTTGTAATTTCTCGTTCAATATAAGACTTGCCCACTAGACTTAAGTTCTACAAGGGAGGGACATTTATCTTGCTCACTACAGTGTCCCCAATGCTTAGAAGAGTGCCTAGAACACAGTTCTAGTAGATATTAAATATTACCTTAGTAACTGACTGAACGTGCCACACTGTCTTTAAAAACATTCTTCTTTTTAAGATTCAGTCCCATTTTGTTAAAATGTATAGGTTATTACAACTTTGTAATTATAACTATCTGGTTATGGAGACTTACAATAAAAGAAAAGAGATGGAAAGTTACCTTCTTTCCTATCACTCTTTCCCATAAGAAAATCTTCTGTGTAGGGTGTCATATCCAAACGTAGTGGGAAGGAAAAGTGTGTGTTCACTTTCTCTTTCATCATCGTTACCATATTGAATGTATACCTCATAGTATTAAAACTCAGAATGCGAGGCAATTTCTTAAAACATGCCCTGAAACACAGAAAAATTAATGAATAAAACTTATTAAAAATTATCTTTCAAAAGTACTTCAATCATGTAAGAGGGGGACATATACATATATGACTTCTTATATGACTTTTTTCATTCTGAAACAACTTTCTTGTGTCTAGATAAAAGAAAACTAAGTAGACTGTGATAACATAATGAAGATATATAAAGGTGCTATGGAAGTATAGAAAAGAGTCATATCATACTTCAAAGGCAAGGAGGTCTTTGGTTCAATTTCCTTTTCCATCTTAAAGAACAGGGTTTGAAGTATTTATTTTTGTGAACTAGAACTGCAGTTTCTGTATCATTGACTAGATGTACGACCCTAAACAAATTACTTAGCCTCTCTAAGCTTAATTCCTGCTTTGTAAAATGGGACTAAAGTGGCTACTCCCTATAACTTTTAGAATGCTGCCTGGCAAATATCATTCAATATATGTTGCCTGATAGTACAACAATCACAGCAGTAGCAGCAGAAAGTCAACTGGTTACCTAAATCTATGGTTGACATATTACTGGTAGTTCAAGTAAAAAAAAAAAAAAAAAAACCCACAAAATTTTGGTTTAAACAAAATCTATAATAATAAAAGTACAATATGCTAATTAGACCAGATGTCCTTCCGTCAGGAGGACGAAGCAAGGGCTGCGAGGGAAGCCCGGATCCCGGGTGCCAGAGGGAAGCCAGTGCCGGCAGCAGGGGGGGAGGAAAGCCTACTCTTGCACGAATTTTGTGCATCAGGCTTCTAGTATATATATATTTATGAAAAATATTAATTTTATGAAACAATACTTCACTGTACACAGGAGTCAAAAGAGAATTTGTTTAAACCAAGAGCACAGTATTTTTGTTTTATAAAGAAATTCAGAAAGATGAGATAGGGAAAAAATGTCATTAAGTAAAGGCAGTAAGTAGTCCAAAAATTCATCATTACTGATTATTTAGGACTAGCAAATGATAAGGTTACAGAAGTATAAAGGAGTTAAATGATGAAGGGCCTTGTATGTAATGTTAAGAGTATGAATTATCCTGAAATATGAGAGTCACTCACAGACTTGTGGTGGGCAATGGAATGTGCATTGAGTCAGAGGATAAAATAAACATTTGGAAAGATAAGAATTTATGTTACAGACCTATTAAATCTATGAGAGTAAGACGGTTGTAAGAGAACAGCACAGCACTCCGAATTAGGTAAGATTAATTTGGGAATCATTAGTATGTCAGCAGAGATTAATGTTATGGTAGTATGTAAAATTATTCAGGAAAGAATAAACTGAGAAAACAAAAGGTTAAAGATAGAGCAGAATATGATCCTTCGTACATTTCTGTTGACCACTTACTATGTTATTACAGACATCTATAAGTATGTTAAGAATATAAAAGTCTGATTAACACTTTGCCTGGGAGAAATGAGACAGTATTTAGAAAAACCAAAACTAGTAGAATAATAGCCAAAAAAAAAAAAAGGAAATGTTACAAGAAGCATATTAAGAATGACAGATTTATTCCAAGTAAAAAGAAATTCTCCAAAGAACGTGACTCTCTCTATCAATTATCTTTTGACTGACTCATTATATCCCACCACAATAAAAAACTTGAGTGACACCATTTTGTGAGTCCTTAATTCTTACCCTAATCCAATTATCAGATGAGCTTTTCTTCTTCCTATAACTGTCTGTACAGTTATACTTTCATATTAATATGTCCACCCACAACCTTTCTCTTTTGCAATCAACTTGAACTCTGAAGATCAAGACAAAGAGTACCATTCCCTTCAAATACATATTTACGTACATGAGCAATGGCTTTTTTTTTTCTGCCTTCAACATGATTTCATCTAGAAAACTGTTTGATCCCCAAGTTCATTTTATTTTATTTTTTTATTAATTAAATCTTTATTGTTCAGATTACAGTTGTTCCTCTTTTCCCCCCTCATAACTCCTCGCCACCCAGTTCCCACCCCACCCTCCTCCCTCACTCCCCATCCAGTGTCCTCATCCATAGGTGCATGATTTTTGTCCAGTCTCTTCCCACATCCTCCTCACCCCTTTCCCCCCCAAGAATAGTCAGTCCACTCCCTTTCTATGCCCCTGATTCTATTATAATCACCAGTTCATTCTGTTCATCAGATTATTCACTTGATTTTCAGATTCACTTGTTGTAAGATGTGTATTTGTTGTTCATAATTTGTATCTTTACCTTTTTCTTCTTCTTCCGCTTCTTAAAGGATACCTTTCAGCATTTCATGTAATACTGGTTTGGTGGTGATGAACTCCTTTAGCTTTTCCTTATCTGTGAAGCTCTTTATCTGACCTTCAATTCTGAATGATAGCTTTGCCGGATAAAGTAATCTTTTTTTTTTTTTCCCCTACTCTTTACGTCTGTCTTTATTTTTTTTTTAAATTAAATCCTTATTGTTCAGATTATTACATTTGTTCCTCTTTTTTCCCCCCCATAACTCCCCTCCTCCCAGTTCCCGCCCCACCCTCCGCCCTCACTCCCCACCCACTGTCCTCATCCATAGGTGCACGATTTTTGTCCAGTCTCTTCCCGCATCTCCCACACCCCTTTCCCCCCCAAGAATAATCAGTCCATTCCCTTTCTATGTCCCTGATTCTATTATAATCACCAGTTCATTCTGTTCATCAGATTATTTATTCACTTGATTCTTAGATTCACTTGTTGATAGATGCGTATTTGTTGTTCATAATTTGTATCTTTTGCTTCCTCTTCCTCTTCTTAAAGGATACCTTTCAGCATTTCATGTAATACTGGTTTGGTGGTGATGAACTCCTTTAGCTTTTCCTTATCTGTGAAGCTCTTTATCTGACCTTCAGTTCTGAATGATAGCTTTGCTGGATAAAGTAATCTTGGTTGTAGGTTCTTGGTATTCATCACTTTGAATATTTCTTGCCATTCCCTTCTGGCCTGCATAATTTCTGTTGAGAAATCCGCTGACAGTCGTATGGGTACTCCCTTGTAGGTAACTGAGTTTCTTTCTCTTGCTGCTCTTAAGAGTCTCTCTTTGTCTTTTGCTCTTGGCATTTTAATTATGATGTGTCTTGGTGTGGTCCTCTTTGGATTCCTTTTGTTTGGGGTTCTCCGTGCTTCCTGGACTTGTAAGTCTATTTCTTTCACCAGGTAGGGGAAGTTTTCTGTCATTATTTCTTCAAATAGGTTTTCAATATCTTGCTCTCTCTCATCTTCTGGCACCCCTATAATTCTGATGTTGGTACTCTTGAAGCTGTCCCGAGGCTCCTTACACTATCTTCGTATTTTCGGATTCTTTTTTCATTTTGCTTTTCTGGTTGGGTGTTTTTTGCTTCTTCGCATTTCAAATCTTTGCCTTGATTCTTGCGCTCCTCTGGTCTGCTGTTGGGAGTCTGTATAGTATTCGTTATTTCAGTCCGTGTATGCTTAATTTCTAGTTGGTTCTTTATCATAACATCGAGCGTCTCATTAGATTTCTTGAGGATCTCACTACATTTATCGGCGGCTTCTAGACAGTTCTTAAGAGACCTTAAAAGTGTGGTTCTGAATTCAATATCCTCCATTGACAGTTTTGTCCTGTTTCTTTGTCTCCGCATTTTTTATGCTTTCTTGGTGCACCCCCTAGTGGTCTTTGTGCCCAGTTTTGTTGTAGTTAAGCCTTGATTGTTGTCGGCAATACCGGGGGTGACTTAACCTCCAGGCTAACTGGCTATGAGAGTCCGCTGTGTCTGCAGTGGGAGGGCTTCTGTCCGGATAAAGTAATCTTGGTTGTAGGTTCTTGGCATTCATCACTTTGAATATTTCTTGCCACTCCCTTCCTGCCTGCAGAGTTTCTGTTGAGAAATCAGCTGACAGTCGAATGGGTACTCCCTTGTAGATAACTGACTTTCTTTCTCTTGCTGCTTTTAAGATTCTCTCTTTGTCTTTTCCTCTTGGCATTCTAATTATGATGTGTCTTGGTGTGGTCCTCTTTGGATTCCTTTTGTTTGGGGTTCTCTGTGCTTCCTGGACTTGTAAGTCTATTTCTTTCACCAGGTAGGGGAAGTGTCCTGTCATTATTTCTTCAAATAGGTTTTCAATATCTTGCACACTCTCTTCTTCTGGCACCCCTATAATTCGGATGTTGTTATGTTTGAAGCTGTCCCAGAGGTTCCTTATACTATCTTTGTATTTTTGGATTCTTTTTTCATTTTGCTTCTCCGGTTGGGTGTTTTTTGCTTCTTCATATTTCAAATCGTTAACTTGATTCTTGCGATGCTCTAGTCTGTTATTGGAACTCTGTATAATATTCTTTATTTCAGTCAGTGTATGCTTAATTATTAGTTGGTCCTTTATTACAACCTCGAGGGTCTCATTAGATTTCTTGTAGGTCTCATTAAGTTTATCGGCAGTTTCTAGAAAATTCTTGAAAAACCTTATAATCATGGTTTTGAACTCTATATCCAGCAGATTGGTTTCCTCCATTTCTGTCATTTGTGTCCTTTTTCTTTGTCTCCACATTGTTTATGCTTCCCTGTGTTGATAGAGTGGTTTTCTGTGCTAAGTGTCTTCTAGGGCCCAGTGGTTCAGCCTCCCCAATTACCTGAGGTGGGCTTTGTGCACAGTCTTGTTATAGTTAACCCTTGATTGTTGTAGGTATCACTGGGAGGAATTGACCTCCAGGCCAAATGGCTGTGAGAATCAGCTGTGTCTGCAGTGGGAGAACTTCTGTGCTGGAGACATCCTCTGGGGCAAGACTTGCTTCAGTGGGGCTTTGGTGCTCACTGAGTCTGCCCCCTGAGTGTGTCCTTTATGGACCACGGAGCTGCAAACTGGATGGTCCCACTCTGACCTCTGGGTACACTGGCTCCTGGGTCTCTAGGGAGGTGCTAATCTAGCCTCAGCCTTAGGCTATCCAGCAAAAGCCTCCCTGCATGGCTTGGGCGGGGCAGGTCCCACAAGATCAACAGGGCGGGGCTAGCAGTTATGGCTGCTCTCAGAGGCTCCGCTTCTCAGTGTCTCGGTAATTGCCGCTAGCCCCTCCGAGAGAAAGCTGCCCTCGAGTTCCAACCGATGCCAGACAGTCCCGCTTCTCCCGTATGAGTCTGGGTCCCCAGAGACTCGCCCGGAACTGGAGCTCAGAGCCTGAGACTCCCTCCTGATTGAAAACAACAACCGTGTCCTCAGCCGCCAGCCCGCTCCATGTGCACCTCTGTACCTTAGTATTTTATTTCCGCACTGCGCCTCCTCTGAGTCTCGGTATGCTTTTCTTTTTCCCTCTAGTTGTAGAATTTCCACTCAATCAGCCTTCCTGTGGTTCTGGATGATGTCCATTCCATCTTTTAGTTGTATTTTTGAAGTGGTTGTTCGAGGCAGAAAACTCCAGTGTTTACCTATGCCGCCATCTTGGTTTCTCCCCCGCAAGTTCATTTTAAATTCCATCTTCCTTGCTGATTTTTGTCAAACTTCTAAAATGAATGATCTGTATTTGACACCATGTGCCCTGACAACCTGCTTTTATTGCTACAACTTGACAAAACACACCAAGTACTTATTTGAAACAAAACCCAATGCTTTTTACTCAGCTTTCATCCCCCACCCCAAATCTCTGAATATATTCTTAAGATTCTCTTCCCCAGTTTCTGGGTTACCTTCCTGTCCTGATTTTCGTTCTTAGATTCTGTCACTTTTCCCTCTGTACATTCAAGATGGCTTAAGTCTCTGAACTTTGCAATAGTTATGTTGTTTCTCAAGCAGATGTTCTGATGCCTTCAGTCAATTATGCAGATAATCTAATACAGGGGTGGGCAAACTTTTTGACTCGAGGGCTACAATGGGTTCTTAAACTGGACCGGAGGGCCAGAACAAAAGCATGGATGGAGTGTTTGTGTGAACTAATATAAATTCAAAGTAAACATCATTACATAAAAGGGTATGGTCTTCTTTGTTTTTAGTTTTATTCATTTCAAGCGGGCCGTAGTTTGCCCACGGCTGATCTAAAATCTAGATATTAATTACTTGATGTTACTATATATTACCAATCTTGCAAATCCTCTACCTGAATGATGTAGGCTGGCCTATTTCTGGACCTGCTGCATATACAAGGTCATTTCTATTTCTCTGCTTCTGTTCCTAGCAACTAGCTGTATAAGATGCTCTTTCAATCTAATTTCTACTTGTCATTCAATATTCACCTGTAGAACTTAAACATCTTTACCCAATTACTCTGTCCTGAACTGGCTATCGTATGTGTGAGCTCTGAAGTAAAAAAAATCTCTCATTATAGAGATTCAGAAAAGGATGTCTTCAGTTCATGAGTAGACTCTTTATCCTGCTCCACTAAATGCAGAGGAGAAAAATAAGCAATCAGACAGACTTTGGTAAATATTTGATTAATTAAGAGAGAAAATCTGAAATATTTAAGGGTGCTTGAAAGTATATTTAAAATACTACCAATAAAAAACTAACAGAATGAGCTCCAAGCAGATGACCTTAACCTTAATCAGATAATTTTAATTTATATAAGTTTGTGTTTTACTTACATTTGATGATTATCAAAATAACATTACATTTAAAAAACATACCTTTTTTCAGCTCGTACTTTCTTCCCACAATGAGAACAAGTATACATGTTGTCACCTTCTAAAGTGTCTTTAATAGTAACTTCATCAAGAGACTCCTGTATATAAAGCCAGAGTTAAAAGTTTGATTATTTACAGCATGCAAAAATACAAAATATAGTAATTACAATTTGGGTAAATACACAGAGGAAAACCAAAGTTTTAAAAATATTTTTATTGATTTTAGACAGGAAAGAAGAGGGAGAGATAGAAACATCAATGATGAGAGGAAATCATCAATCGGCTGCCTCCTACACGCCCCACACTGGGGACAGAGTCTGCAACCTGGTATATGCCCTTGACCAGAATCAAACGTAGGGCCTTTCATTCCACAAGCCGACATTCTATCCACTGAGCCAAACCGGCTAGGGCCAAAATATTTTTTCAAGTGAATTCTTAATTTTAATAACAACTGTCTTTTCCTCACATTGACACAAATACTCTCTGAATCTTATTAAATTTTTCAAAAGTGAAGCATTTAAATTTTGATTAGGAAAAGATCAACTTTGTGGTCTATCTTTAGTTCTTATCTTGAGTAGCACAGTATGAGAAAATAGAAGACAGTTAACTTTCAAGATGAGAAACATAATCCTGCTATATACAAATAGTTTAAAGCAGGAAAAAGTCTACAAATATATACATTACTTACATAAATGTTCTTCATATCAGCCACTTGGCACCTCACAGTATAAAACTCTTCAGCAGTCTGACTAACGTGTTCACAATCCTGGTCAATTAAGAGTAAAAAGTTAGTAATCTTTATAATAAGCTAATTAAGATTTCTAAAAAGCAAAGAACAGGTAGAATACTTACCAAGGATACAACATTGTTTGTAATTACACCTCCAAACAAACTTTTGACAGTATTTTTCTTTGAAACAAACAAACAAACAAACAAAAGTCAGTAACTTAAGTTGGGCAAATCTCTACAAATGTCAAGAAACTTCAGTATTCTGGTACGAACCAGTTCTGGAGACATTTCTTCAATTTTGGTAATTAGATCGGTAAAAAACTCTGTCATATCTTTCTGCTCCCCAGTATTCAGAGGCTGCTTATCCATGGTGTATGTTTTACAGAAGGGTCTAGGATTATATGCTTTGCATTCACTCTCCTGTAAATGAATGGTGGGGTTGGGAGTGGGGAAAATGATTACAAAATAATCAAATAAAGAAACCTAAGTCTCGCTCTGGCTGGTATTGCTAAATGGTAAGAGCATAGGCACAAGCATGGAAGGATCTTGGGTTCAATTCTAGTCAATGACACACACCTCAGCTGTAGGCTCAATCCCTGGCCCCAGCTGGGTGCAAGTGGAAGGCACCAATCACTGTGTATCTCTCCCATCAATGTGTTTCTTTCTCCCTCCCTCTCTGTTCCTCTCGTTCTCTCACTCTCTCTACCCACCCCCCTCCCTTCCACTGTCTCTAAAACTCAATGGAAAAAAATATCCTCGGGTAATGATTAACAAACAATGAATAAAAAAGAAAATGAAGAGAAGCAGCAAAATCACACAGGGTAATGCTCCATGCTGATGAACCTGGATACTATTCTGTTCATAATAAAGAACCACTGAAAAGTTTTAAGACTGGAAGTAATATTGTAAGATTAGCAATTAAAAAAACACAACACACTGATTGAGTGACCTTTTATAGTTATGGAAGTAAGGGGGGGGGGGGAAGGAAATCAGAAAACTCTAAGCCTAAGGGGGGGCAGAGGGACTGTGACAGAAAAAGGGATTCTTCAAAAGAGAGTAACAGGATGTAAATAACTGAGATATAGCTATTGAAAGTACCAGTAAGTAACAAATTTGATTTGAAAAGTAACGGTATATAGTCAGGACGTCAAAACAAATGAGCTCTAATGTTTTCAGGTTTGGTCAGAGGGTGTATCTAATCACGTTTTTAAAAAAATACTAGAGGCCTGGTGCACAGATTTGTACACAGATGGGGCCCCCTGGCTTGGCCTGTGGGCACTGGGCTAAAAGCAGCTCTCTGACATCCCCTGAGGGGTTCTGGATTGCGAGAGGGCATAGGCCAGGCCAAGGGACCCACTGGTGCACAATCGGGGCCAGGGAGGGACTGTGGGAGGTTGGCCACCCAAGGAGGGCTCCAGGGCGTGTCTGCCCCATCTGACCCAGTCCCGATAGGCCGGACACCAAACAGCAAGCTAACTTATGGGTTGGAGTGTCTGCCCCCCCTGGTAGTCAGTGTGCGACATAGCGACCGATTGAATGGTCGAATGAAGGGTTGGACACTTAGCATATTAGGCTTTTATTACATAGGCTTTTTATTGTTGGGAGTACTACAGATGTCCCCCTCCCATTTTCCCCCTTTTTACCGCCCTACTCCTCTTTCACTACCCTATTGTCTGTGTTCATGGGCAATGCATACATGGATATAAGTTCTTTGGTTAATCTCTTCCCAACCCCATCCCATACACGATTTTCAAACATACCATTAAATATGTAAACATTTTTTGAAGCTCCAGAAGAGTGGTCTTATGCTTCATATCTTCTGAATACTGAAATTCAAAAGAAAACATTCAATTAAAAGATACTGACATTAGACATTCTAGCAAAGAAAGTATTACAATATACTTTACACCATTCAATTTCTTTTAGATATGTGCAGAAAAAACAAAGGCACATTCCAGCAATTTTAGCATTAAAAATGGAAGTATTTTGTTCATTATATAAATACAGCCATCACTATTATGTAAGAAAATTGAATAAAGACATCTTTAAAAAGTCACTTTCTTTGTCTGGCCTGTGCGCTCAGTGGATGAACTTCGACTTATGAACCACGGTTCAATTCCTGGTAAGGGCACATGCCGGGGTTGCAGGCTCGATCCCCAGTAGGGGGTGTGCAGGAGGCAGCTAATCAATGATTCTTTCTTATTGTTGATGTTTCTATCTCTCTCTCTCTCCCACTTCCTCTCTGAAATCAATAAAAATATATTAAAAAAACAAAGCCCACACATGGAGTTATTAGCTAGTTATAAAATCAAATTGTCATTTTTTTAAAAATTCATAAATTGCTTCTCAAACAATATTTCAGTAAATTAAAAAAAAATCAAGATTTAGCCACAGAATTTTAAAATTTTGTTTTATAGTTTTAATTTTTAAAGTGAGAAAATTGTACCTTAGCAGTGAAGACAGCCTGTCTTGCTTCAGGTATCATATAAAGTTGCTGAATAGTTGAAGCCAAGTAACAAGTCGCTCCAAGGTTAGTCAGGCCAACAAATCTGCACTCAGCACGGACATCCTCGTGAGGCCAGTAATCCCATTTATAAGGTGCATGGGCTGCTGAAAAGAGAGGGAAGGAAAAATGTCCCCCAAACAAACTATTAAACATAATGTATTGTTTTCATTAACAACCATTACCCTCCATTACGTATTTAGTTAATATGCATAAAATATTATATATGGTAATTTTTAAATTAGTAGTAAGAACACATAGTAAAACTAATTCATTCCCTAAAAATTCAAAGGACTGTCACAACTTCATTTCATTTAATACTAAATTATTTAACAAAAAAATGTTTAAGTACTTCAGCTATCTATAAAACGGCCTTCACACCTGTTTTTTTTAAAAACAATTAAAATTTTTTAACTTCAATAATATCTAAGCAACATTTATAATTGATTGTTAATAATTTATAAGTGTGTGAACAGTGATTTCTTTCTTTGAAATATGCCCTTCAAAAATCTGATTTCTGCATACAAATTTTAAAAAGATTAAAGAAAAAGAAGAATGCTTACACTGCATGTGTTGTGCCATAACCCAGTTGTGTATTAGCCTGTAGTTCTCAACAGACCCCTTTACCATCTCTACTAACAAATCATAAGCAGCAGCTCTTGAAGAATGTGATTTGCACTTTGGCTGTTGTCTATCTTTTAGACTAGGCAACAAAAACAGGAGGTTGAAGATATCTCTTAAAAATTCCTGAAAAACAGAAAAACCAAGCATATTATCTTAAACTTAAATATTAATTATATTCCAAATATAATGAGTAACTTACTTAAACTAAATCCTATGACAATCTACAATTTTCTAAAAGACTGAAAATTTCAAGCAGCATCATATACAATCACTGGAAAGTATTCCCAATGTTCACTTTTCTTAGAGAAAACAGAGGGTGAGAATCACCTTCATTCTTACCTCCCTCTTGACACCTAATATAGCTCATTCTTACCACAATGCAATTATTTTACAGTCCATTAAGTGACCAAAAGTTTTTGTTAAGAACTCATTACTACCTATCTTGACTGCTTCTGCACTTACTTAAGTTTCTCCTTACTTTGCTCTAATAATAACAGTAGTAGCCATCAAAGCAGCAACTTATGCATAATGAGAACTTTTAAGTGCCAGAGGCTCCCAAACAAAAAACATTAAAAACCATGTCTGTTCTGGTCGGGTGGCTCAGTCAAAGCATTGTCACATTCGCCAAAAGATTGTGGGTTCAATTCCCAGTCAGGGCATATTAAATTGCAAGTTCGATCCCCTGCAACCTAGGGGTGTGTATAAGAGGCAACCAATCAATGTTTTTTTTCTCACATCGATGTCTCTCTCAAATGAATAAAAACACATCTTGCATGGAGTTGACAGGTGCCTGAGTCAGGATTTAATATACCAAACTCTTAACTTCTATACCAGTGAAGTTCAAACTAATGTGCAAGGTTTTACCAGGTAAAGTACATTTCAGATGTACTTTTTCCTAAATTTGATAACCTTGAGAAAGTGTTACCTTTCCTGCTTGTTCTTTCTTAATTTTCTTTGGTAAAGTAGCAAATGACCAATTATGTCCCTCACCCATCTCAAATACTGCTATCATAGATTGTTCTGGGGCATAAAACCTGGGACACTGCATAGAAAAGAGGTAATGTTGTTAAGACTGAGATTCTGCTATACTTAGAAAGTCTGGATTGTAAGGTTGGCCCTTGGCTATCATCTGGAAACCTGAACGGTAAACAGTATCCTCCTGTGATATAAAAATTTCTTAAGTGATTAAAGTAGCTTATTGTGCCTGTTTGTTTTGGTTTATGCTGAGTAACTGCTTTCTATCTGGGAGTATGGAATTTCAGTGACTGTGGTCAATTATTCAGATACTATGCACCTACACCATCCACCCCAATAAAAACCCTGGACTCCTAAACGCAAGAAAGTTTCCCTTACCCTGCACATGTATTGTGACATTCACTGCTGGGTGAATTAAGCACAATCTGTGAATCTCCATTGGGGAAGGACTCTAAAAAGCATGTACCTGGTTTCCACCAGAGGTGGCCCCACACTTTCCTTTGCTGCTTTCATTTTGCTGTAATAAAGCTCAGCTATGAGTACAACTAAATACTGAGCCCTCTGATTCCTTTTAGTGAATCAATGAAGCTGGGGATAGTCATGGGAACCTCTGACATGAGTACCCAATACAGGACAATATGAAATATTTTCCCATTAATGACTTCAAAGCTCTTCTACCCCACTAGTATCAAAGAAAGTAAAATACATAGTTCCTAACTTTGGCTAAGAAATATTAAAAGTAAATATGGTCTTACTTCATATAGTTGAAAGATTATACTTGTCTATCTTAGAATTCAGAGGTGAGATGACTATCTTGGACACAAAGTAACATATTTACTTGAACTAGAAAACAAAACAAGGCTCACTTAAAAAAAAGAAAGGGAATTGGCTAGTAACCATTTAACAATGAATTATCTTTGTCAATCAGTTCAGATGCAGAAATTGAATAAGCTAAGTATCTGTAGCTCCAAAGTATTGAAAAAATATATTTAGAGATAGGGTGAGCAGCTGAAACCAGTAACATCCAGCCCAAATTGGCAGAGGAGATTCAGCTGGGAGACAGTTTGCAGCCGGGAAAGGCAGAGGACTCCAGGAGAAAGGGGGCTGTTGGAGACTGCGGGATCAGGCTCCCCTAACCGGGCAGCCTCCACTGCTGCTGAAATCTCTCCTGGAGCGACCGGCTCAGCCACAGAGACCACACCATCTTGAGTGGCTGATATTGGAAGCATATACATCCAGAGACCCTGCAACCATGGCATCCAGGGATCATCTCAAGCAGTGCAACTACGTGGACTCAGACAAGCCCTGCTCCTCCTCACGGAAAGGTCAGATTTGGCCTAGATAAAGGTGCGGTTTGCAATTCAGGTTGGAGAGAGGAACGCACGCGGGGAAGTCTGTGCCCCACAAAGTCCGCGGCCGTTGGGGCCAGCATGATCCGTGAGTGTGAAAGGGGTCCTGCAGGGCTGCTGGCAGAAGGGAACTCTAAAAATTAGCCCATAGCTGGACTGGGTACAAAAAGGCAGCCTCGGATTTTGCCAGTGTGCTGGCTGCTTAGTGCCAGGGGAGAGAGGACGTGCGGAAGAGACTGCGCACAGAGCTGGACGGTGGGGGGTTGCCAGTTCGCGCACCTTCTCAGGCTCTTTTTTTTTTTTTCTTTTCTCTCTCCCCCTTAAATATTTGTGTCTGATTATTAAACCCAATACATAGGATCACCCAATTGGGGTCACTCACAAAGACTGCAGGGGAAAGTTGTTTTTGTCGAACCTGGGAATCAGAGCGGGGAGTAACGATCAAAGAACCAGCTCTGGGTCAGCCGACTTTCCCAAACCAGTATTATGTGCGATAGGGAAAACAAAACCTAACTACTGGCTAGAGAGGACTTATAGCCTTAGAGGTCAATCCAGAAACACTGCCACCCAGAGGCTGAACCACAAACTGACTCTTCTGTAAACACAAATAAAGGCAGTCTGGGAAACAAACACAGCCTGCTTTAAAATCAGGACTGTGGTTTACAACACGGAGGAACAGTGTATCGCAGGGAACTTCAACACTCTTTTGAATACCTGACAGGAATAAAGCGTGCCAAACAGAAGAATAGAGGAAGTGAAGGACATTCACTACTGCACATTTTTTCCCCCACCTTTTACTTAAGAAACTAATTTTTTTTCTTTTTTCATCACCTGATTTTACCTTTTTAATTACATTTTTATTTTTAACCAGTATTATTACCACTACCATTTTACCTTTTTTTTATAGTGTCATTTTATTTTCTCTTTATTTTATTTTGGAGATAGTGTTTCACATTCTATTTTCATCTTTCCTTTAGCATCATTTTACTCTACCTCAACTTTACCTTTATGCCAAAACTCTGTTCCTCACTTTTCCCCTTCTGTTGTCCTGTTTCTTTTACCCTATTCCTGCTTTAGATTTTCCCTATTCCTTCTTCTTACCCCGTTAAAATTTCACCCTTATATATCTAATTTCCAATCCCCTACTCTAAATCCATATACACCTCTCTCTTCTCTTTCTTCAATATCCAAATTTTTTTTTCTCTCTGTCGTTTTGTTGTTCTTGGCTTGATTGTTGAGTATATTGGGGTTTTGTTATGTTTGTTTGTGAGATTGTTCTGCCTTTTCCTTTTCTTTTTCTGTTGTTTTTTTCCCTCCAGTTATTTTTTTGCTTCTGTTTTCCCTCGCCTCACTTAATATTAGTTGCTGTTTGTAGTTTGCATTCATCTCTAGGGATCTGTTCCTGGAATCTGTTGGGATTAGTGGTTGTTCTATTGGAGTTTTCTCCCCATATAAATAGTTTCTTCCCCTCTTCTATTTCATTCTCTTTCTTTTCTCTCTTACTTTTTTTTTCCTTTTCCCAACTTCATTTTTGCACTCCTTTTCTTTTCTTTTTCTCTTTTTTCTTGTTCTCTTCTTTCTTCCTTATCCCCTAATTCTCTTTGCTCTGGTGGTCATCTTTATTTGGGGTTATTAATATCATGAATACATTTGTGTTCAGTGCCTTGTGTGTTGTGCCTTGTTGTGTTGTATTTTGTGCCTTTAAATCAATGCAGCAGAGAGAGAACTACATAACCAGACACCTGGAGAAGAGAGATCATGAGGAGACGAAACAGTCCGCATATGAAAGAAAAGCAGGCATCACCAGAAAAGGAAGTAAACGAAATGGAGACAATGGAGGCAAGCAACCTGTCAGAGAAAGAATTCAGAGAAATGGTCATAAGGTGGATGAAGAGAATGGAAGACAAATTCAACAATATGTGGAAGAACCAAGAGGAAATGAAGAACCAAGAAGAAATAAAAAATGACATCACTGCTATAAAGAACTCAATAGAAAGCATCAACAATAGACTAGAAGAAGCAGAGGACCGCATCAGTGAGCTAGAAGACAAGGTAGGAAAAAATACCCAAGCAGAAGAGCTTCTAAAAAAAAAATTAAAAAGCAGGAGGAGAGCCTAAGAGAACTTTGGGAAAACACAAAACGAAACAATATCCGCATAATAGGGGTGCCAGAAGGAGAGGAAACTGAGCAAGGAATAGAAAGCCTGTTTGAAAAAATAACAACAGAAAACTTCCCTGATATAGGGAAGAAAAAACTCACACAAACCCAAGAAGCTCACAGAGTCCCAAACAAAATGAACCCCAAAAGACTGATGCCAAGGCACATTATAATTAAATTGGCAAACACCAACGACAAAGCAAGAATCTTAAAAGTGGCCAGAGAGAGATAGAAAGTTACCTACAAAGGATTCCCCATCAGACTAGCGACTGATTTCTCAACAGAAACGCATCAGGCAAGAAGGGAATGGAATGAAATATACAAAGTCATGCAAAAGAAGGGTCTGAATCCAAGAATACTGTACCCAGCAAGGCTATCAATCAAAATTGAGGGTGAAATCAGGAGCTTCACAGACAAAAAAGGACTATGGGAGTTTATTACCACAAAACCAACAATGCAAGAAATGCTAAAGGGTCTGCTATAAAAAGAAAAAATAGGAAACGAAGAAGGAACACAGGGGTAAAGAATAAAAATGGCGACAAACAAGTATCCATCAATAATAACTTTAAATATAAATGGATTAAATGCCCCAATCAAAAGACATAGGGTAACTGAGTGGATAAGAAAACATGACCCATATA